CAAACCCCCTCACCACGATAAGGTGGAGACACCAACGAGAGGGAAGAATTTATAGACCTCTTAAAATGAGGTGGAGACGCAAGCATTAAAGTACACACTAAAACTAAATATAGACCTAACGTCTGACACACAAAGACACGAGTATTCGCAAGATAATGGCATGTCTTCCTTATAAACGTGAAAATAATCCTTTTTAGAAGTTAATGATATGTGTGTGTGTGGGGCTGTGGAACTCACGAGGGAGACCATGCTGCTCAAGTAAAACAGCTAATTACCGGCTCTTAAGTTGTTTTGCGTGACGGAGGGAGAAGAATTTCGTTGCCTGCTCTCAATAGGTTGTAGAAGCTGCGGATATAATATCGAAAAGCAAGATGGAAGACCAGGGAGTATGTTTCCGGCTTATGCAGCGCAGTGCATTCATTCACGTTGTCTTCGCAGCAGGACTGTCAGATTGCTTAAAAGCTGAAAACTGAAATTGTCGATTTAGTATCTTCTGCAGTGACACTCTACGAGTTCTGCATTGGATATTTTAATTGCATTTTCCACCACCCGCACTAGCGCTGCACGCCATCCTCTTGAAGTTCGCAGATCATTTATAAAACAGCTGTTTCTGAAAATTCGACAAAGGAATCATAAATGCCTCTCCAAGTTGACAAAGACACTTTTTATTTAGAAGTAAAACCCTGCATTTTAATTTTATTTCGATGAATTCTGTGAAATTTACCTACTTTGATCTAATTGTCTGAATTTTGTTTGTGTCCTGCTGTTGTTTAAACTCATTAAAGTATTTTTGTGCCACTTTTCATGTTTGTTGACTAACTTTGTTGAAAATGGGCTGCAACCAAAAGGCTTGATTTATTTACATTGCAAGCTAGCTAGAATTTGAGCTCTTGAGAACCAGGAACCAGTTCAGAGCGTTAGGCGGATACGAGCCAGTTCTACACACGTAAAGACTGTGGTACACTCACTATCCAAAATTAAACAGTGGGGAACTTTTCCATCTCGCTCCCCATTTTCTGTCTCTTCATGCTGCATTTATTCAGGCAAAACTAGGCGATCTGCAGAATTGGCACAACTCCAAAGAAAGTGCTTGGCCTGAGGGGGTAGAGGGTATACCAGTAGGGGAAGGGGTGTGCGTGGGCAGAGGTTTGATTGGTAGCCGGGATAGTGACGTCATACAGCTAGCCGCTTCATTCAGTAGTTGTCACACTGGTAGTAGGATATGGAGGAGCTGGTGCGTAGCGTTGTAGTCTGTCTTCTGCAGACCCGACGGTCTCCGTGCCTGAATTCTGTTAGAAAATTTAGATACACGCATCGATGACAGCTTTCGAAATTTATTAGTGGTTAATTTATATGAGTGCTCGTTTGTTCAGTGCACGAAAGAAAATAAGACATGTGGTTTTGCTGCCAAATTTGGCAGTGCAATTTCAAAACATGTTTAGGACCATTAGAAATTTGGAAAACCTGGAATGGCTGGAGCCATGTCGTGTACCCTTCAAAAGGAAATACAGCCTCAAAAACCTTCACAGATTCTCGGTGAGTCACTATTTTACGTTCCTCAAGAGAGGTTATGGGCACTGGTAACTTCAGCTTTCTAATCTAGCGGTGAAATTATATTCCAACTTTTTTTTTAAACCATCAACACAACTTCTCTGGTGTCTTATGTTAATTTGAAACTCTACTACCTGTTTCGACGTAGATTGGTCTTCTTCAGGTGGTACAATACATGGAAAAGTTTAATGGTGAATTGTTAGTGTTTTTACAGTCTTGTTTGAAACATGGATCCAGTTTCTTGTAAGTTTACATGTACTTATTTCGAGTTCTACTTTGTAACTTTATTGTTATTATTATTATTATTATTATTATCATCATCATCATCATCGTCGTCATCATCACATGGTCAAGTGATAAACCCTTAAAACAAGTTAAAATAACCTGAGACAATGGGAAGAGTAAACAGGTAAAAATGGAACAGATTTATTTTGTGACGTATAATTGTGTTGAATAAACTCTAACATCCCAAATCTGTAAAATGAACAAATATTTACATTTTATTTTTCCACTGAAAACTTTTCTAAGTACAAGTGAAAGGTTAGTTTTCTCAAAGAGTATAGAGATTAGGGAAATGTCAGATCGTAAGTCACTGAAAATTATAGAGCGACTAGTAACAGTTGCCGCATAAAAACAATTCGCTTTCATATTGTAAATATTGTGTTATATTGCCCACAGTCTTTCTGATGTTAACGTAATTCATTGTGGTGATGCTGGATACTGTTATAACAATATATGTAATGTATTTTGTCAACATAATAGATTTATGACAGTGATATCTGACTACCGCTTACTTGATATTAACATTTTAAAGTTCCCCCTAGAGCTAACATTAGTGTCTGCGTGCGAAGAAATTAAACTGCATATTCAATTGGAACGATTAGCATCACTGATTGCGATGTAGTGTTGTAATCGTTTTCAAAATATATTTTAACGTTAACAATTAATTATCCTTATAATTTTCATTGGCGCTGTGTCACGTATTAATTACTTCTCGAAAGGCCTACTGTAGAAAGAGGAAAATATTAAGTTATTTCTGTCATATATGTTTTCATAATCACTTTAAACATAACCTCAGCACCATCTGAAAGCAGGCACCATTTAAAGTAAAGAGAGATATGTTACTATAGCACTTAACATACTTGTATTCCAGTGAACTGGATTGGAAGTCACTCCAATATTGATTGCAGTCGCATGGCAGTAGCTATGTTCCCTGTACGGGCTGTGACGTCATCTGACACGCTTCTGCAGTATCACACGAAAAGTGAAGCGTTGTTCGGCATTTATAATTACTGTGATCAAGTCAAGGAGGATGAGATGGGCAGGGCATGTAGCACTAATTACGTGAAGAGGCACGCATGTAGGGTTTTGGTGAGAAAGTCAGGAGGCAAGAGACCACTAAGAAGACCTCTCCATAGGTAGGAGGATAATTTTAATGTGGATCTTAGAGATACAGGATAGGGTGATATGGTCTGCATTGATCTGGCTCAGAATAGGGACCAGTGAACATGGTAATGAACCTCCGAGTTCCATAAAACGTTGGGAAATTGTCAAGCAGTTGTGTGACTGGTTGCTGGTTACGAAGGACTCAGCCCCATGGAACTACACGTAGTTTAGTTAGTGGATGTAGCCGAGCGTAGGGTCAGTTCCTCCGACATGAATGTTCGTATAGCTTGACTTTCCACCCACCTGGGATATACAGAGGGGGTTTCATTAAGCAAACGTTCTACTCAGAATTTAGGATAAGGCGAAACTATCAGTAAAGGCTTCCGATTTGCAGGCTTGAGGCTCTCACTCTATCTTCTGGGACGTATGATCATGCAGTTCGTTGAAAGTCAGCCAAGTGACGTTGCCTTTCATCGGACTGCACGGAATTACGCTTCGGTAATTTCCTTGTTTGAAAATATTTGCTATGTCGCAAAATCAATGAGAAGATATAATTTGGGACAGCCGCACGACAAATAATCAAAAAGAAACCAAATAAACACTACTATATCAATATTGGGGGGGCACGCGGTAGCGTAGTGGTTGAGGAGCTATGCTACAAGCCGGAAGGTCGCGGTTTACTCAGCCTCTAACAGAAATGAGTACCAGGAATTAATTAAATAATTTTCCTGGGGGTAAAGCGCGGCCGGCGCGTAAGGCTGACAACCTTACCGCCATCTTTGAGCCGATTGTCTAGATAATGTGGGAACCTCGACGTCTCACAACCCTATGGGCCTTCACGGGGATAGCTTTACTTTACTTTTTATATCAATGTTTGTTTTTTTACTTGTTATCGGCATCGCTACATGTTTCCGACTTTCTCTTTGGCCATCTGCAGGAGTACACGGAGCAAAATAGTATTCGTGTACGCCTGAAGATGACCAAAGAAAATGGTCGAAACATGTAGTGATACCGCCAATAAAGAATAAAAACAAATGTTGACATGGTAGTGTCTATTTGGTTTCTTTTTTGATTATTTGTCGTGCGATTGTCCCAGATTATATCTTTTCGTAAATAACACACAAGTTGCATACGTTAAAGGTCGAAAAATCAGTGTAGTTATTCAAGCAGTTCAATCTGTCAACTTTCATTCCTTGATCTAATTGCAGCTGAAGTGAAAGAACGGGCTGTGAGACACTGCTCTCTGAGATCCAGAAATTCATTCTATTCGGAATAAAAAAGAAAAGTGAAAGCTACCCTGTAACAGGCCGTGGAGGCCCATAGGGTTGTGAGACGTTGAGGGTCCCACATTTTCTAGACAATCGGCTCACCGATGGCGGTAAGGTTGTCAGCCTTACGGTCCGGCCGCCCTTTACCGCTGCAGGAAGATTCCTAGTAATCATATCTGTTAGAGGCTGAGTCGACCCTAGGGCATAGTGCGGCTGGAAGGATTAGATCAGTCGAAAAATCCAATGACCTCATCTGGAATCGAACCCGCGACCTTCCGGCTTGTAACATAGTGCCTCAACCACCTACGCTACTGCGTGTTATATACCTTCATAGAAATGAATTAGTTCTTTTTGGAATAGGAAAGATTGTCCTCAGAAACCGAAGATCTCTTTTATTGTGCTGATCTATGAGGAGGGTGACAAAACGGACTGTTGCAGCTATGAAGGCATATAACTGTAACACATTTACCCAGTATTGTACCCAAAAGTCTTCCCTCAAAGTTAACTCAAAGGCATAGTGTGTGATGTAATTAGCGATAGCGCTAGAGTTAATTGTGGTTACGATCTGTAAGTGGTCACTAAATCCAATTACCAATCCAAACCCATCTGTAGTCACTTATACAGGGTGCATTTCATCACATCCCAGAAGAATATGACCTTAGTTTCGTATTACTTTTTGACTACTGCCTTATTTGATCATTATTGCAATTCGTGACGGCCTTCCGTTTTTGTTGTGTGAAGGAGAACCAGAACATGGAAAGTGTAAAGATCTTCCATTTTGCTGTACATTTTTAGGGGCACACGGGGCAGAGGCCAGGCGACAGTGAGGTCCCTGAACCGTGGAACGCAATCTAGGGACATTCCAAGGAATCCAGTCTACGATGCCATTTCTACTTCGTGAGTATAGTCAGTTTAAGATACTCAGTTTTGCTTAATGTGAACATCACGAAGAGGAAGCAACATAAGAACGGGGAGGAGTACATAATGAGGAATTTCATAATTCTGAACCGTCCTCAGATATTGTTAGGAAAATAAAATGAGAGAGTATGATATGAGCAAGCGGCCTCCGTAGTCTAGGGGTAACGTTCCCACCTCATGACTCAAGGTACGCGGGTTCAAACCCGGCGGAGGTCGTGGAATTTTTAAGGGCGGAAAAATTCAGGGAACAAGTCCTCCGGGAGGGACTTTAAGCCGTGGGTCCCGTGTCGTAGCTTTACGGCACGTAAAAGAACCTCAAGTCCCAAGGGGACCACTGAGCCAAATTGATCGGACGTTTCCCGCCCAACAGTAGTCTCTAACGCCTTTGGTAGATGGGGGAAGCATCTAGATACCACTGAGCCAGTAGAGGCCGAACTCGCTGGCGGAGTCGGGACTGATGGCACGCACCAGTACCGGTAGGGTATAGAGTCTGGTAGAAATCAAAGGGGTACGCACAGTGGACCAATATCTGGTCTAAGTGCATGTGGAAACCCAACCCCTCCTCCAATACAATACAATACAATGATATGAGCAGGACACACAGCATATTTGAGAGAGTAGACAAATGCATACAAAATTTTGACAGGAAAACGCCTCTACACCTGCTGTGAATTTTGGTGCAAAGAAGATTCTTAGTCGTCCAGTGAACATATAAGTTGTGTTCAGATGGAGTGACATGGTACAATAACGTAAAATGCGAGGCGTGATAACCACCCAATAGAACGAACTCCCCGCAATCACTGCTTTACAACAGGTACAACACGCTCCGTGAATGCGTACCAACCATCCTCGCACGAGTCCTTGAGGAACTTCGAATATTTGCGAAGCTTCTCAAGAACAGCCAAGAACCAAGTAAAGTATACGGCATAGGAAGAACAGTCAGGCGCATGGGGCGACGTTTTATGAGGCGAGGGAAGGAGGGAAAGGAAATCGACACGTCTTCTATAATTTGTTGGTAGTTATTTTAACATATTTTATTGTCATTCGCTGAATGTTGTTAATAAATTGAGAGAACTGAATTGATTACTGTAATATGAAAACCAAGGTCGACTTAGCCTAGCAGCAATGTCAGTACCGCGTTCCCCATCTTTTAAAAATCATCATTCACAAAGTGCCTACTATGACACTACAGGATTTAGGGAATTTAAATTGAGTCGTTGAATAAACAGTCTCTCTAGAAGTAAGAAAGAAAATGATGAGATGACGCATGCAAAAAGGTGTTAAGTAGCAGGTAGTTTCTTCCAAGAAAGACGCCGTCTTCTCCGTGCTGCCGTGCCAGAACGTCATCCCTTGGTTTCTTTACCATTGTTTCAGTGACCCTAGAAGAACAGGGACCGTGATACAGGAAGTTCGATCCAGGGATAATGCAGAGGAAGCAGCCAGCGAGAGACCGCTGCAGACGTAAGTATGTTTACACGTCTGTATTGGTTCTCTGGATTGCTGCAAGGTTAATGGTAGCGTGATGAGGTACTGATGGAGGATAACAGCCAAACGCTGAAGATGTTAGCAAGTTATTGACGACTGTCTGTTAATTAAACGATGAAAACAGAATCTTAATAACAAAATTTGACAAATATCAATTTAGTTAGAAGTAGTTTATAAAAATCATATGTAATATTCACAGCGTTATGAATCAGGCCTTCCTTAGGTAAACAGAACATTACCACAACACCACATAGCCTCATACTTTAGCCTTATTCCTCGTATTCCTCTTCCTCCATTTCCTAATTAATGTTCATACCTCCATACCTGTCTTGTTTAAGCGGGTGCTGCCAGTTGACCCACACCAGACGAGATGTTCAGTTGCCCTTAGTTACACAGCACCATACCTCCATGGCTGAGCCTTCCTTCACTTTTTTGGATGTGACTTCAATATGGGCCGCGATTTATTGTCGCAACAGGTTTCTCCGAAACGTTAGCATCTGTCCATATGGCATAACATCCCAACACAGCGTAATATTTTCTCAGCCAACACCCAGATGGGTTTGAATAAGCTAAGAATTGAGAATTCGTCACGTCTATTTCGTTTCGTCAGTGGGGTCAAGTCTAGTTAATTTCGTCACTAGGGTCACGTCTAGTTAGTTTCGTCAGTGCGGGTCACGCCTAGATAGTTTCTTCAGTGGAGTCAAGTGTAGTTAGTTTCGTCATTGGTGTCAAGTCTAGTTAATTTCATCAATGGGGTCACGTCTAGTTAGTTTCGTGAGTGGGGTCACGCCTAGGTAGTTTCTTCAGTGGAGTGAAGTCTAGTTAATTTCATCAATGGGGTCAGGTCTAGTTAATTTCGTGAATGGAGTCACGCCTAGGTAGTTTCTTCTGGTTAGTAACTTCCATCTGTGTGGTCAAGTATATTGGTTCCTTGACCTCAGGTCTAGTTACCAGAATGTCACTGGTACCGGCAGTGACGGGTTGCTTCACTTGCGTCCATTTCCCTTTGTTGTCATTGGCGTCATGTCTGTTAATTTCGTTAGTTGCGCAACAATGGTGTCTCGTGTAGTCAATGGAGTTGTTGACGTCAGATGAGTTATAAGAGATGATTTAAATTCTGCCAGTCAAGAAGTGGTGCGTGACCTCAACGTGTGTAAGATTTTGGATCTTGTCAACAGCGAGTTCGGGATTAAAATCAGTTTTGGGGGCATGTATGTGTGTATGTATGTCGACGTTTCTCTTGTGTTCTGAGTGTGTAGGGACCTTCCAGTAAAGCGTAACCGTATTCAAGGAGTCATACCGAAAGTTGTCACATATTCAGACCGTGACTGTTGCCAGGGGAAAACTTCTGTCGGTAATGCAGTGCGCACAGCATCGTCACAGCTTGACCCACATTAATCTGCAGCAAGTCACGACCGTCACGCTGTTTTTTGGTTCAGGCAAGTTCACGGCAGTCGCTGCCTTGCATGTGTTGTTTCGCTGTGACGTCACAGCTGTGCGCAACGCTATCGATCGCTGCCGAAAGGACGACCTTGATCTCCGGCCGTAATGTCGGTTTTCTGTCTTTGTCTGTGACGCGTTCGGACCTGACCTCACCTCTTTCAGGCCTACATCGAACTTTTTTGCGTATTTTCACTACCCCTATGTTGCTCACTCACTGAAGCACACCAGAATAAAATAAGCCTCCAAGATGTTAACTTTCTCTGTTGTTATTATTATTATTATTATTATTATTATTATTATTGGAGTGGGTGGGTTTCCCCAGGCACCGCGACCAGTTTGATCTATCGTACGTCCCTCTGTGATATTCTACCTGTTTCTATACCCTACCGGTACTGGCGCGTGTCCTCAGTCCCGACGCAGCCAGCGAGTTCGGCCTCTACTGGCTCAGCGGTATCTAGATGCTTCCCCCATCTACCAGAGGCGTTAGAGACTATTGTTGGGCGGGAAATGTATTTACAAATTTGGCTCAGAGGTCTCCTTGAGATATGAGGTTCTTTTGCGTGCCGTAAAGCTACGACACGGGACCCACGGCTTAAAGTCCCTCCCGGAGGACTTGTTCCCTGAATTTTTCCGCCCTTAAAAATTCCAAGACCTCCGCCGGGTTTGAACCTGCGTACCTTGAGTCATGAGGTGGGAACGTTATCCCTAGACTACGGAGGCCGCTAACTTTCTCTGTAGAACGCGAAGGTTCAGAACCTCGACTGCCAGAGCTTACCACAACCTTTATATAGGAAACTATCATTATCGGGACAGCGTGTTCGCGCAGTCTCAGTATAGCCACTCAGCAACCCCACCGACGGTAGTCCTTGAAAAACAACAGTCGTGTTCAGCTACTCAAGAGTTTCCCAAAAGTTTATGGAACCTAAATGTTTGTTACCATCGTATAGTCTTCACGAAAACCCTCCACTGGTCCCAATTCTGAGCCAGATGAATCCAGCTCATACCACCCCATCCTATTTCTCTAAGATTGATTTCAGTATCATCCTCCCACCTAGGTCTTAGTGTTCCTAGTGGTCTCTTTACTTCAGGCTTTCCCACCAAAACCCCACATGCATTTCTCCGCGCTCCCATACGTGCTGCATGCCCTGCCAGTCTCAACCTCCAGGGACTGAGCATTCTGATTATGTTCTGCGAAGAGTACAAGTTATGAAATGAAGCTCCTCATTGTGCATTTTCTGCAACCTTCTCTTACCTCATCCCTGTTCGGTCCAAATATTCTCAACACCCTGTTGCCACACATTCTCAGTCTATATTCATCCCTTGATGTGAGTGGCCAAGTTTCATATCTATACAAAACTACAGGAAAAACTATACTTTTGTATATTTCATTTTTGCACAGGAGGCGACAGAAGGTTCTGAGCTAAAGCTTTTCTCTCTTTCTATGGCTCTATAGCCCTTGTGGACCTTGGCGCTTTTCCAGTTTCTTAATCCTGTACACAGTCTGTAGAACTCCTTGGACGGGGGATCAGCCCGTCGCAAGGTCGCTGCCTACACACAGAACATGAACGAAGAATAAACGCAGACTGGCATCCACGCCCTGAGTGAGATTCGAACCCACGATCCAGCGTTCGAGCGAGCGAAGACAGTTCATGCCTGAGACCGCGCGGCCGCTGTGATGGGCGGTAGCCAGCGTTACCAGAATTTAATGAGCTCTTGATAACGTCATGAATCAAAATTTGATCTTGTACTGTCATTTCAAATATCTGAATTGTCATACCGCATTTTTAAAGGATCTGCGCTATAATTTTGCCCTGCATTTTTACGACCGAGACATCAACATGTACGAGTACTTGGATTTCTGAGCGTTTACTTCTAGACCAGCTCACCCACTGGCACCAATGAAATATTCCTTGTTTTTTTTTAAATGAAATTTATGTTATCTCCCAAAAGATATTCATCATCATCATAAAACAGAAGCTGGTGTGTCTCATTCAATTTTAGTTCCACCAGGTTTCTTGGACCTTAGTGATGGCATATTCTAAAGCAAAGCTGAAAACCAATGTCAGTAAAGCATCTGCTTGTTTTAGGCCATTCTGAGTGGGAAGCGCTTCAGACAAATTCGTGTATGTACTTGGGTGCACTTTGCTGTAGGTTTACTTTGAACACATCTCAACAAGCCTGACTGGAAGGTTTCACGTACCTAATTTAGTTAGGTTTATACATTTGGGAAGGGGGCACGTGGTTCTGTAGTTGGTTGAGGCCCAGTGACACAAGATGGAAGGTCGCGAGTTCGATTCCCGATGAGGCCATTGGATTTTCCAGTTGACCTAATCCTTCCAGCCGCACTATAGCCATTTGGTCGGCTCGGCCTCTAATAGAAATCTTCCTGGGGTTAAAGGGCGGTCGGCTGGCATGTAAGGCTGACTACCTCACCGGCGTGTGTGAGCCGATTGTCTAGAGAAAACGTGGGAGCGTCGACGTCTCACAACCCTATGGGCCTCCACGGCCTGTTACATGGATAGCTTTACCTTTTTAGCGTCTTTTATACATTTCGATGGCGCGACCATCATACAACTGTGTTAAAAGGCGCAGTCATGTTGCCTAACCTGTACTGTCCACTTTTCATTGTCACAATATTTTCCAAACACGTTTTTGTTATTTTCCCACATACTGTGCGCTTATCGCCCGTTCCTCCACCTGTGCTAGGTATGCGATGACGTCACGCTAGTCTGCCCGGAAGACGCATACGCTACCGTATTCATTCAGAGAAAACAACGTACGTACTGCAGTTTCGTTCATTAATGGCCATGCTAATTCTGATTTTTATGGTTTACGTACGACTCTGTCAGTATCCAGGCTGTATAATATCGAATGGTAGGCTGATTGGTGACTAATGGATCGACAAATATTTTAAAGGAACCGGGCATCGCTTTGCTGATGTAACTATCCTGACGTTTGCGTGGAGGAACTGTGGAAAACCATGAAAAATCTCAGTCAGGATAGCCGGTGTCCTGTCCGAGATCCAAACCGAGCACACCCCAAATACAATTGTATAGCTTTACCGCTACAGCAACCTGCCTAGTGAAAATTATGCTGATATAGCTTAATTAAATAAAGAAATTACAAAACGTTAATATTGTCAGGTAGTATGCGTGTGACTGTAGAAGGGGTTTTAATTGGTGACTCGATTTATTGAACACTTACGCTCACGACTCGTCACTACACTTTACAGGTCACTGACACAGACTAGTGTCCTCAGTCTATTACAGTCTCCACTATCCGTTTCCTGGCAACGGGTTTTAACACAAGAACTATAACAGTCTCGCTGAATTAACATACTCTAAACATCACGCTTAATGTCTTCTCTTGCAAGTAACTCGCGGCCATTTCACATCAACTTCCTGGTCTTCCCTTCACCGCCTGGCTATCAACTGACTACGATCTAAACGTCACCTCGCTCATAACCCCTCGGCACTGACCGCATAGAAAACACAGCCCCTGTTGCTGTACCATTGTTGCGTTCGTCTCTGTTGCTGCGGAACGTGCTTACTGGGTCGTTGCCCAGAAAGGGCCCTGGTATATCCGCCCATCTCGGTGGTCGTTGCTTGGCAACGGCTCTACACTCTACAATATGTAAGAGTAGAACTAACGAAACATGTTAATTCAATACTCCACTCCACACGCAGGAAATGTTTGCGCGGTGAGCGGTATGTACCCAGACTTCCTCGTCGCTTGTCCCAGAACTTCAAATGAACTGCCTCTGCTTTCCCAACTTGTAGAGCCCGAGGTAGGAGACCCTATCCTATACTTAACTAATTAAGCACTACGTCTTGAAGGCCTGTGGCTGAGTGGATGTATAGATCCAGATTTTCTTGACCGCTACACTAGTTGGAGGTGAGTGGTCAGCCTCACGCCCTGCCCGCTTTACTCCCAGGGAAAGAGCCTCGGTACCCATTGTATAGGAGTCTGGGTGGGCCCCAGAGCCGGTCTGGACGACGTGGAGAAGACAAAATTCTTGAACCTACAGGGACTCTAAATTCGACCCCTCAGTCTCCCAGCCCCGTAGCCGGTCGCTATACCTACTGAGCTAACCCGGCTCCTCATAAGTTACATTGTGTCGATTAATAAGTTTATTGTTGATGTTGAGACAGCAAGGAAGCAAAAGAAGCTGTCCGTGGTCTACTTCAAGACATGCAGGCCATCTCTGTAGATCAGAATTGTCAGTACTCAGACCCAGTTCTTAACTAGATTTCTTCTGAATGCAAAACAAGTTTTCCATCTGTGAGCCTCATAAATTGATGAGTACTATTAACAAAAATCAAATATAAACTCATGTTTAGACCAGTGGCAGACTTGATGACTGGATGAAAAATTGAGAATCGAGACACAAAATAGTAAAGGCACAGCGATAAGAACACCTCGCCTACAGGCCTTGCACTCACCAGACTACCGGAGTGCACACTGCAAGGCGAAGGATCAGTAGGCCTAAACCTTCCTGTCGCTGCTGCTGATATTGCACACTCCGAAATCGACTTTTTTTTTATGATTTTCTGTTCGTCCAAATAAATGAAGATATGTCTTATAATAGGCCACAACCGCTTTATTCCGTATCCAGTTTACAAAAATATTCTTACTTGAAGCTACACAATGTATGCGGTTGAGAAATAGTCCCTATACAAGTCAAGGAGAAGAATAAATTATCTTAAAGTCAGCAAAGATCACATTCCAGTGTGATTAAGCGTTTCTGAATCTCAGTCGATGACTGCTAACTTGACGGCTTTCGTTGTGTTTCTTAGCTCTTTTGGAACCAGTACCTCAGTAGTTCCAGGCTTCATCCCTGATTTCTTGATTTAAATCTGTTGAAATAGGACCGATTGAAAATGCAGTTGCAAATATTCTAAAACAAAACCATCGATTTTATCGTCCTCTACTTCGCGCGCTCGTGTGTGTACACGAAGCAGATGTGCCAATAATTTGCCCGCGATGCTAATTTTGCATATATATATATAAAGTGAAATGTGCGTATGCACGTTTAATCGTGACAGGGCATTCATATTACCGATGTTAGCCCTGTTAACACTTCGAAAATGAAATAAATATATTACTTTATTTCGTTTAGTTAACCTGTACAAAGATATCATAAACTTGGGCATTTTCTCTTGTAGAAATTTCCAGACAAATATTTCGAAAGTTTTTTTTTATCCAGTTTACTGCATTTTATAAGCTCAAAGGTTCTGGCCCGTTTGTTAATGTTATGAAGGGCTTAAATGCTTAGATTCGTGACATTGCCACACATTGCCACACATTGCCGGAACTAGGTCATGTTACCCTACTTCAGGGGGTCACAAACTTATACTCGGCATTATGGCAGCCCCTCTTCCCTCAGCTTCCCACACGTAACTTATCATAATGTTCCTTAATCCATTGCGTGATGATAATGACATTGCTTAAATAAATTCCTGTAATGTTCTGTAATATAATGTACTGCAAGTTATTGTCATCAACAATTATTAAGCAATTCGTTTTTGTTGAACGTGTACGTTTTGTTCGTTAGGTCGTCATTAGTGCACAGATGTGTTTTACGAGACAGCAGAATTTCCGTTTCTATATAGCATTTCCTTATTTTAAGTAACATATAAGTTGTACTATTGAAAAAGAATTGGGACATTGATTTAAAATTTAAAATAAAAATTACCTGTAATATTATTTTGTCTATGGACTGTTGTTGAATTTTGCTGTTTCTCATTGTAACTCATGTTTTTATTCCGTTTGAGCTTTAGTTATTTATTAAAAATATTGTATTGTATCCTTTTATTTTGTGTGAATAATTTATTGTTTATTTCTTTCACTACAATTTATATTATTGTGGCCTACTTGATGATGCAAGAACGGTTGAGCCACAGGGACAACAACACAACCAACTACTCTGCGGCATAACTAAATAAATATGGTCGCTTTTAAGATGGCGCCTCTTTAAACTGAAGTGCAAGGCGAAGTTATTCACGGCCAACTACCAGAGGTTGCAGCCTGTGTCTGATATACGAGTTCCCACAGACCTCAGCAAAACCAAGAAAGGGGTAGCAGAGGTGGCAGAAGTGCCGTAAACGTCTTCCCTTGCAGGGAATCGAGCCCCGGCCTTCCAGCCCCTAGCCCGTCGCTATACCGAGTGAGATATCCCGACTAGTGTAGGAAATGAAAGCCATAGCATCCGTTGCCTCTACATGCTTCGCGACTCATCATACAGGGAGACTTGTAGCATCTCCTGGATATCTTTAATGCATGTTAACCACTTGATATGACCGACAGAGAGACAGTCGCTCAGTGAAATTCACAACATAAATATATAAATTTGCTAATTGAAAGACATGTGTTTGATTCCAGTGCCAGTGAAAGGACGCCTTTCTACTATGGAAGCTCACACTCACTGGGGAGCAAAGAATTTCCTCATCTGAACAGTGAGTTTAGAGTTCCTGACATTGATGGGGAAGGATCCTCATCAGCCAGCGCTGGAAGATTTTTGCCACAAGAGGTAAAATAGGTGCATGACATAATATTCGGCTGAAAATTCTGTTTAGATTTTAATATAAGGCAAAGCCTATCCCTGTAACAGGCAATAAAGGCCCATAGGGTTGTGAGACGAGGCTCTCACATTTTCTCTAGGCAGTAGGCTCTAAGTTGTCAGACTTATCCACCCGCCGCCCTTTACCTCTCAGTAAGATTCCTGATATTCATTTTTGTTAGAGCCTGAGTTGACTCCAGGGCCATAGTGCTGCTGGAAGGATTAGTTAATTTGAAAAATACCATATTATCAGGACCCAAACCGACGACCTTCCACCTTGTAGCATAGTGCCTCAACCAACTTCGCTACCGTGTGCCCAGTTTTAGATTAGATTTCTCAGAGGAATATGCTCCCTCTGTTTCAGTACACCCTGAAGCTGGAGGCAGTATGTTCCTCTTAAATGTTAGCAACCTCCTACCAGACTATAGCATCATAACCAGAAGATTACAAATTGGAATACTTTTTCGTGTATTTGATTTGTTATAGATAATGATATTGAAAATTGTAATACAGATTTTTGTTTACTTTTTTAGCTGGGATAAAAACTATAAAATTGAAGATATTTGATACAAAATAAATGTTACCTATTGAAAGAACTCAAGTTAATAAACTGATAAAATGAGATCTTATTTACAGAAAAACATTATTTTACTTCTTTAGAAAGTGAACAGTGATGGAGCTGCTATAAGCCTTGCACTCCCTCTCAGTTCAGCAGAGAGGGACAGACTGTCGTCATATCCAGAGGACGTCCATTTGCATGAGTTTTGCAGCATGGGACTGCAGCATCAACGTGGATCTCAGTTTTTTAGGTATACGAATTAAACAGCAGTTTCCCAGAATTTCTTCTCCACTATCATTCACCAGTAAAATAAATATACACTAAGTAGTCATTTTGTAGATTCATAATAGTCCTTAAAATATCAGCAGAATTATTTAATACGTATTAAGTGAATTTTGAGTAATCAAAATATAAACAACAAATTATAGTCACTAATTTGAGTTCAAGAATTTATGACGATAGTGAAGAACATGAAACAACTTATATTCCTGCCAGCTCAGAAACATAAAGCTTTCATTTTTATAATATACAAATTTAGCCCTTCTTTCGCTAGTGAAATCTAAAATATCTAGAGATACAGATCAGAGATGATCTGTTATTTGAGAGAGAATTTTCTGTACTGACATTGATCTCCACACATTAAGTCTCTGCTTCATATCAACTATGTATACGGTATTTCAACATTACTTTTCAGATATTCCCATAGGAAGTAATTCAGTTGGTTTAAAATAGGGTAATTTGATGATTAGGGCAATTCTAAGATATAAAGGTAGTAAAAATATGACTGTGTGTATATTCAAAAGTGCATTTGCTTGTTGGTCAGTCCCCATTCCTGTCAGAAAAATATTTCCAGTTACCAAGAGTGTGCTGCCCATTTGGATGTCTGGTTCTTAATTGCCAGTTTCTTACTAACTTACTTTGCAGAATGGAAAATTTAGTTCTAATTTCTTCACTCTGTAGAAAACAGTGTGTTATGTCTGACATGGCTAGTAGTGCTTCTAGGGTATTTTTTAATCTGCTTGAACTGTAGGTGTCATTTTGGCTGAACCAGTCTGGACTGCTCTAGCACACCCCAGCCTGTAACTTTACTTCAGTGGATTAGAATAATAGAAGTGGCTTTTCACAGAAACAGATGGCTCATATCTGCATATTCAGCCAGTTGATGCATGGACAAACTGGACCTTAACTGTAAACTGTTTATGAACTACAGTTTTCTTTAAAATAATAAGAAAATAGACCACTGAAAGTGACTCCCTTGTTGTTTTGATTGTGCTTGGGACATGATGCTCTTGAATTTGTATGGAAACAATTTTGCATCCTGTCTGAGAATCCAATATGTCAAAGATTTTGTTGTTAATGAAGATTACAGTGTACTGATGCATGTATTAGGAAGCCCTCCCTTCAAGGGGAAGACCCTTTAGCAAGAACTAAATATGAGACTGAACTACTCTTCCAAAACTAGAAAATTGTCTTGAATTCTGGTTCGAGTCATTTGATTCTTCTCCTGTTGTCTTTTGCTATGAGGAAGGAAAAACCATTTTAATATTATTCATGTAATTAGTATCAAGAAGCTTAATCCCAGCAGTTCACCTTCTGCCAGATAGAGAATTAATCCATAAATAATATTTGATATCTTTGGTAGAAAGAAAGTGTAGTTCCTGATGGCATTTACTTTTAAATGAATATAAAAATGAATTGAGAAGAATAAGAATGGTATTCAGAGCTGTAAATATGGGGTGTAAAATCAGATTGAGCATATGCGTTTCCATCTGTGTAGTAGCCATTCTAATCATTTCATCACACTGATTGTCAGAATGTTTATAGTGTCCACTTGATTTCCCTTATTTGAAGAACACAGTGTTCATTTAAATATCCCATCCTGGAAAAATGTACTAGCCACAGAGGCGAATAACAAAGAAATGAGTGGGGATTAATTTATGTACTGTTGCAATAAAATGAGGTCCAGACTGAATTACAAATCTGAACCTTTTCAGTTAATGTAGCCATGTCCATATGTGTGAGCTGTGATACTAACTGGAAGTTGCGCTTTCAGAACAAGTGAACTATAATAGATCACTCACTGATCACATGACCAATAGTCCATATTACGTTTGGAAAGAGGAATACTGGTTTTAATTGTGTTTCTTGAGAGAATTTTAAACAAGACTCCTACTCAATTGGGTCCCTAAGGAAGTGAGGTTAGATCTTTCTAAGGGACTCAACAGAGTAGGTGTCTTCTCCCCTTCACCTGAGGACAGAAACAGATCCAGTTTCCGAACCGTTGTGTTTTCTAGTTCCTAGAGTACTGGAAGATGGACAGAGTCCAAAAACCCAGTAATTCTGAGCAGTATTTTGGAATTATGCATTGATTTCTTATTCCACTGTGAACATAGATAGCCAGTTTTGGAGTAACTATAGATAATTATTAAGAATTATTATGTTACTAATATAATACTATTGAAACATTACTGGCTTTGAATGACATTTCAGGCATTCTTCAATTATTAAATGATAAGAAAATATTTATGCCTACATTTCATAAATAGAAATTAATGTGCTTAGTTATATGATAATCAAAATGATGCACATGTCCATGCAGATTGGATTTAGCTCCAGATACTCTGGTACAGGATGAGCCAAGAACAGTGGAGTCCAGTGCTCAAATGTCACTCCGTACGCCCAGCACAGATTTGACTGAACTGGAACAGAGCCTGGAGTACTGGCACCAACAACATTCTCGACAGAATTACAATTGTATGACACATGCAGAAGATGAACCTCACAGCACAGTTCGCTACAATGACACAGGAAGTCTGGAGGAGGTAGGGATCATCGAACAAAATTTGAAGAAGAAGTGAACTCCTCCAGAATCAAGGCTTTATTATGTTACTTTCCTTTGATTAGTAGTCAATCCTTTGAATTCTATTGTGGTCAGAAACTTAGTTTTCTACTTTGTCAGTTACACAGTACCCATTCGAACAGCATTTTCACAAATGGTGGTGAGTTCTTTTAAAGCAGTATGCAGACACTTAAATCCAAGTACTGACATGTTGTTGACCTACTTTCCTTTATTAAGGAAAGTGGAAGCCTTTTGGGATCATCATTCTGTCCTTATGTTTGTCCTCTCTCAGTTATTGAAGTAGTTGACTGATCATCATGAAATAAGGTCTAAACTTTATGCCACTTTCTACTATTTTTAATTTCTTGCTATCTGTAACAGCAATATGGCTGACTTAAAAATCAGTTGAATTGGAGCAACAGTGGTATAACCTAAATGGGGATCCATAAAATATATATGATAATAGAGCTCTGAAAAATATGATATTTTAATAGAGTATAGTAGTAATTTTAAAGGGTATATTAAAGTCAGGATTACAGAGTGTCTGGGCTTTTCCAATTGCCCAGTTTGCCAAAGAACACAGCATTTAAGAAACTGCATCCATGTCTGTCCTCAGTTGAGAGGGTGTAGAGGTACTCAGTTGAATCCATCAGGATGGAGCTGACCTCAACTGGACAACCTAAGACAGCATAATTACATCCATATACGTGGTAGAGTCATTAAGTTCGTGGAATGTGGTTTTATTGCATCATATTACAAGGTATTCACATACACTTACGTAGATCCACAATGGCCTTCAGAATAGTTGCCGTTGGCCACTATGCAAGCCTGCCAACGTTGATATAGCTGTCGAAAACACTGCTGAAACATATTGGCAGTAAATTCCCATACGACGCTTTGTGGTCATTCCACGAACTTATTGACTGTGGTAGTATGTACCTGGGATCATGCTTTGTTGGTGGGTGATAATAGGAACATTTGCAATAAAAAATGTGGAAATATGTATATATACATAAACTATTAGAGAAAATGAAGTTGAAAATAATTTATGAAACCAAATCAAAGGAAGTCAAAAGAACCTCCTCCTCCCTCCCCCAAGATAAAAAGAAAAAGAGTGCAGAATAAAATAAAAATTCACTTGCTATGTAATACCTGTGTGGATAAAAAATGGAACTCCAGTTAAAAATCATAACCATACATGTGAAAAAGATTCTGAGGGGTTTTGATGATCTTTAATAAGCAATTCAAATTCATAAGTACAGAATGAGGTGCTGTACACCACAGATTCTGAGGAAACAATCCTTATGAAGGGTTTGAATTTAGCAGTGGTGAATCCACATTATAACCTAGATGTGCTATTTGCTGTTAAATTAGTTGTTTCAAAACATTGCAGTGTCTGGTAAAGGTGATAAGTCCAAAAAGAATGATTATTAGTTTGCAACAGTAAAATCTTCAACCATGTGTGGACAGGCAGATACAATTTGTTATCACTGGCGGTATTGTTACAGCATCTTGTGTGTTTGTGTGTGCAGTAAATGTGAATGGACAAGACAGGAAGATCATTCAGTAAGCAGGAGTGTGTGTTCTTGTTTACAAAAATATCCAATTTCATGCCATAAATTTAGATCAATTTAATAGGGAAAAGGATCTTGATATTTGTTCTTTGAAGCTAAATTTTGTGACAAAAAATGTTATTGTTCTATGTATTTATAGATCTCTAACTGGTAATCTTTTTCTATTTTTTAAATCAGCTGGAATCAGTATTGAAAAAATTATACAAAACATCTAATGAATTCATTTTATGTGGTGATTTTAATATAAATTATCTTGATGATAACATTGGGAAAGACATTTTAGATTCTCTTTTAGCTTCTTTTAATCTTTTTAGCACAATTAACTTTCCTAACAGAATTTGTAATAATTCATGCACTTTAATAGATAATATCTATGTTAATGTTTATTGGTATGAGTTCTTTGTGCACCTGTTTATTAATGGCCTGTCAGACAACGATGTCCATGTTATTACTCTAAATAATTTCTTTATTCCTGTCTCTAAAGAGGTATTCTATTATATGAGAGACATTAATAACGACTCAATAAATCAATTCATAACTCTATTAAGTTACGAAAATTGGGAAAATGTCTTCTCTGAATCTAATGTTAATGCTATTTTTAATAATTTTCTCAACACATTTCTCGGAATTTTCTATTCATGTTTTCCTTTAAAAAAATTTCAATACTCTTATAAACAAAAACCTTGGCTAACTACAGGTATTAAAATTTCATGTGCTAATAAAAGAAAACTTTATTTAACTTATAGAAATAGTAATGATCCAAATACAAAGGAATATTTTAAGAAATACTGTAGAATTCTGGCTAGGGTCATTATGACTGCAAAAAAAACTTTATTATAATAAGCTTCTAATAAAATCTAACAATAAAATAAAAACTACTTGGAACATAGTTAAAACTATTACTAATAATAGAGATCCTAATAATAATATATCTACTATGAATATAAAAGATAAATTATCTAGTAATACATTAGTTATTGCAAATGCTTTTAATTCCTATTTCTCATTCATAGCCAAAAATTTACTTACCAGAAATTTGTCTTCGAAAACTTTGTTAATTATAAAGATTCCTTATCTTTTTTTATGTCAAAATTTTATATAATCCTTTTCAACAATGAAATTTAGAAATACTAATACTTTTGAATTCAAAAAAATAACAATATTCCTTGAAACCTAAGAATTCACATGGCTATGATGCAATATCATCTAAAATTTTGAAAGTTGGTATCTTATCACCTTTAACATACATACTCATATTTAACAAGATCCTACAAATAGGTATATTTCCTGATAGATTAAAATATTCAGAAATCAAGCCTTTAAATAAGAAAGGAAATATAACTACTGGCCTATTTCGCTTCTCTGTACATTTTCCAAAATTATTGAAAAAATCATTTAAAAAAGATTGTATTCTCATTTAAATAAAAATAATATATTGGTAATGGAACAGTTTGGTTTTAGAGAAAAATGATCTACCGAAATGGCCACATTTACACTTTTAAACAAAATATTGTCTTCCTTAGATAATAAAAATTATGTAGGAGGATTGTTTTGTGATTTACAAAAGGCCTTCGATTGTGTCAGTCATAGCATACTCCTGGCTAAGATGGAATTCTATGGAATCTCGGGAATAGAAATTAAACTAATGAAGTCATACTTGGAAAATAGATATAAGAGGGTATCAATGAAAGATATTAATCATAATAAAATATCCTCCAAGTGGGAGCTTGTCAAACATGGAGTACCACAGGGCTCTATTTTAGGCCCTTTGTTGTTCCTCATTTACATAAATGATTTTCCACTATCTGTAAACAAAATAGCTAACCCTATATTATTTGCAGATGATACTAGTATTATTACATCTAACACCAATCCTAATGAATTCAAAAGTAACATTAGCTTAGTCCTAAATGAAATAACTACTTGGTTGCATAATAATTTTTAACACTAAATTGTGAAAAATCACATCTTTTACAATTATTCTTGAAAAAACATAAAGAAATGAAAATGGAAATAATATCTACCAACTCAGTTACTAGTATCAATTGTACTAAATTTCTGGGAGTAAACATTGACAGTGCTTTATCATGGAAGGACCATATCACTAAATTATCGTTAAGATTTAATAAGGCCTGTTATCCAATTAGGGCTATAAAGACATTTATGTCATTGGACTCAATGAAGATGATCTATTACTCCTATGTACACTCTATTTTGTCTTATGGTATTATTTTCTGTGGTAATTCTTATCTCCATGAGAGCATCTTTAAAATTCAAAAAAGAATTACAAGAGTCATTAGCATTTCGGATAGATATGATTCGCGCCAGGAATTGTTAAAAAACTGCAAATATTGCCACTTCAGTCTCAGTATATTTTCTCAGTTATTGTTTTTGTCATAAAAGTTACTTTTATATCTAATTTTGATATTCATGATATCAATACACGTTACAACTATAATTTACATTTGCCATCCACAAATTTAACATTAGTACAGAAGGGAGTACTTTTCTCTGGAAGTAAGATTTGTAACCACTTACCAATATATATTAAAATGCAATCTACAGATATTAAGCATTTCAAACCCTTATTAAGAACTTATCTTACAGAACATGCATTCTATAGTATTGATGAATATTATCAAACAACTTTTCAATTAAACTTTCTATTTTGAATACTCTGAGTAACTGTGGGAGGACTTTTATTGTAAACTTGTATTATTGTTACATTTATTGTTTTGTAAGGACACGTGCATTTATATTTAAGAATTGTGCTGTTTTGTTTTTTATTCGGGGATCTATTATGATTATATGACATTGCTTTTATATTTTATTTTACTACAACAGGTTCTATATTAAATAGGTTATAAGTTGACCTTGTATGGATTAACAGAATGCTAATCAATATGTATGTATGTAAGCTTAACAGGAGTGTATGAAGTGGTGACCATCACAATTGTCATTCCTTGTTGGAGGGTTCAGCTATTCTTACTGAGATCTTACATTGCTTGCTTTGTCCTTCAGGGCCAGTGTTGAAATGTATAATTCAAACCACTTACTTTATCTTTCCACATCACATTTATTTTGATATAGCTAAATTCTGCATTATATAACCATGACAACTGTAAATGTGTTAATGAAATTCTAAATGTATAATATTTCACATTTCATGAGCAGTACAGAATAGTCCAAAATACCTATATATCTTTCTGATTTTTGTAACAATTGTAACTGTATTAGCATATTGATCCAATAGAGGTCATAAACCTTACTTTAAAAGGCAGATGTTGATAATGAAATTAATGGATGAATCTAAAATTGCTTGCTAAGTACTTATTGGGTAATAATGTCTGTATGTTGGCCAGGTTAACCATGAATATCAAGTGGATTATATTGTGCATGGAGGTGATGAGTCGCGATACTTCTCCTGCGGAAAAAGTGCACAAGTAAGTATGTTTGTGGTGCATGATGGCTGGAAATGTTCAGAATATTTATCTAATAGAAAAGAAATTTAAAAGTAAAATGTAATTGACTGGTTTTCACAAGGTTAAGATAATAGTTTTAGAAGTTGATCCTGATTGGCTGACAGTTACTGCTAGCTAAACAGAAAACTGGAAAACTGAAGTTTATCCTTTGTAACCCATTCCATGCTACCATAAATATATACTCACCCTTTGACAGATTATTGCAGGTTATGTTAAGTTAGGTTTAGTTTGGCTTGGTTTGATTTTATTCTGTTGTTTAGGTTGTCTGTTTTAATTAAATATTAATTATGTTCAGTTACACATGTGTATTAATGCCCTCTGACAAATCTTTAGTCTAAATTAAAACAAAAAAAGAGGAACTTCGCATTGCAAGATTAACCCCTCCAAGATTTTATAGGCATTACTCAGAAAGTTTGAATATTGATTTTGGGATGTTATTAAAATGGCCTTTCTCCTTAGGCTCAGGTAATATTCTATTCCTTTTCCACTGTACATGACAAGTTCTTACAGAAACAAATTACACAGTCAAAAGAGCAGATTTTCACTTTAATTCTTCCATGGGAGTCTTCATAGGTGACATAGGAGGTTGCTGGGAGATAGATTTTGTATTCATGTGCTGAAACATGATAACTAATCCAAGCAGCCTCTACTATTATGGCACCTGCATGAGGAAGGGTGACAGGTAGCACTGCCAGTAGCAGCTGACAGAACTACTGCATGGTGGGTGAACATATGAAGGTTGCAGATTAGTTTCTAGTAAACTTATAAGAGTGGTAATTTTTCTTTGAAATCTTTGCTGGTCAGGTGAGACTTCCACATGCTTCTATCTCAGATAACTAGGACTTTGCTGTACTATATTTCTTTCTGTTTGAACTGGGAATAGTGCACTTCACCCATTAAATTTTATGGTGACAGAATTCTGGTGTAATTCCAAATCATTGTCTATTTTCTTTTACAGAAAAAACGGTAAAGTAGTATATTGACAAGATTTCAGTTTTATGAAGAACTTTGAATATATTCATTACATGCCTTTCCCATTTATGTGGATGCATTTTGTGCAATAAACTGATGAAAATGCAACTTTCTTCATTTGTTTCATGTTCTTAATGTTCCTTGTCAGCATTTGAAGTTATTAATAATTGTGTAGTTCAGTAACTCAGGAGTATTAATTTCCAATATAAATATCATTTGCCTACAGATTTTAATTTTGTTTGTGAATGGCACCATGTGTACCACGTCCATTCAGAATCTGTTTTTAATTTACTCATTGCAAAAACTGACATCTTTACCAGATAAATCTCATACTTTTTAGTTTTCTGAAACCATCCCAACTCTAGCAACCACTCTGGCAGTAAAATTTCAATAGATTCACACATCAAGATTGTACTGCATAAAGCAGACATGAAAATCAAATATTTATAGTCAGAGATATAAAATTACAGTGCTTGTCACTACCGTTTAAAAATTATGATCATAAGAAGGACTTTTTCAAAATGAGTCGAAAACTAGATGTAATCGGTTTCATATGCTTAAGTTTAGCAAGCACATTGTTACTGTAAAATAAGATAACACAGGGTAGTGTAATGTAAATAACTACATTACAATCCTCTGTAAACAGAATATGTAAATGTGTTTTCCAAAGGGGTTTGTGATATACACCACATATAAGAGAATTAAAAAAATGAGTTAGAATTAAATTCTTGACAAAATTTTATAACTGTACTTTTGTGTGCGTCAGTCTGCGATTAGCTAATGTGAATTTCTTTTACTAGTACCAGTATCGACAGTTATGGAGTCTTCGTGCCATGCTAGCAAAGAATGAATATTTGTTGAGCCAAAGTGTCCTCAATAAAGAAACTGTTGCCTCAACTTTAAGAACAGCAGCATCATTCAAACGCAGTCAGTCGTCTGTTGAGATATATCCAGGTTAGTTACATTATCCCATCATTACATTGGATTTAAGTCATAAGTTTCAGAAGAACAATACTGTCTTCATGGAACTAAGTCCTTCTTGAGTAGCTAATTGCAGCTCAACTAGTTAAGAAAATCCCTGGCCTTAATGACACAAAAATTGCTGTAACTGATCAGTCTCATGCTGTGGGTGCCAATCTGCTCATCCTTCTGAGAAGGCTAGTGATAAAACCTTCTTCATCTCTCCTCTTTGCATAATCTTACCTCAGGGGTTCTTCCCAAGGGTTCAGTAATAAATCTACCTTGCATAACTCAGAAACTATGAAGTTTTGTGTCCCTGGGAATGTACTGAGTGACTTGCCAACTGTGGAGTGGTTCAGGCAAAGCTAATAACAGCAGTGAGGAAAGCAGGAAGAGATCACATCCAGTTTCTTCTGTTCAGCTAAGACACAAAATTAAACCCTTCCAGTTTTTAAGCTGATGAACCACACACAGGATAGGTTTATTGATCTCCAATTATGATTCATGTTAACTTAATAAATTATGTTGATTTTCATAGATCCTGATATAATTCAGTCACCAGTTTTTGCAATACAGACTGAAGTTCATGTAATTATATGAGAGAGATCACTAAAATGTTCTAAATTTAAAAAAGACTTTAATTATATAATTCCCTTCACTTGTTTCATACACTCATTAACTTTCCAGCTGGGAGCTGAGTTTGTCCTCCACTGGTAGTCTAACCCTGATTTAGTCTTCTCACTTATTCTCTCCTGTCACTACCCAGTCACCTCTTGACTGACTCTAGACTCTCACAGATGCTCGACAAATGGACTGTTCCAAGCTCAGGCCATGCATTTAAGGTTCTGAAGGTAAAAGTTAGAAATGTTCTTGCTTATAAAGGGAGTCCTCAAGAGAAACTACAATTTAATGTATTAATTTATCAGAAGTACCAGTAGTGATTAGTTGTTTCTTTACAATTCTTTGAGGACTCTTGAAATATGTTAGAATGAGGACTTGGCAGTAGAATGTTTAATGTGCATTTGTATTTGCCAGGCCATCAGTTCCCAGTGTAAAAGGGATAAGTTAATGTCTTATCCTGTTGGGCAGTAGGCTTGTGTTTCCTCATTCTGCAGTCCTTTGCAAATAGGGGTCCTTGTTGACAGTGAACAGCTGTAGCTCAGCTGCTGGCTACCTGGGTGTTGTGTGGGAGCTCAGCAAAATCTTGTATGATTTGGTAGGGTATTTGTACGAACCCTGGGTGAGATAAAGCCAATCCAAACCTTCCAAAACTGTTTGCCTGTGATTATTTGAATACTGCCCTTCCAACTGTTCCTATTTCTTTCAAGTAGTCATTTCCCTTTAGATTATTATACAAACATTTTTTGTGCTTTTATAATCCCTCCCATACATGCAACATGTCCCACACATCTCGCGCTTCTTCATTTCATTAGCTTGGGATTATCTGACGGAGAGCACAATTTGTGATGCTCCTCATTGTGCAGTATGGCTAGTCACTTTAACTTTGAAACTGGAAAATGGCCATAAGAAATGTCTGAATTATCTTATGTGCTGTTACTTAGGTGAATTTGTACTGGAAGGTGGATAAATTGTCTCGGTAAAAGGTCAGTTGCCAGGCTTTATTGAACATGGTGAAGAACCTTCAACTTTTGTATGTGCAGGGAATTTCTTTTTTCAACAGTTGATCTGTCATCTTCTCAAGGATGATTCTGTACGTTGGGGGAAGTTGGTAAATATTTTTTAAATTTACTGTAGGTGTGGATATTAGAAGTATTTTTATTGAGTCCTTCTGCTTTACAAATTCAGTTTGTATGTGCATGAATGAGAGGTTCTCATGTCATCAGTTTAAATAGTTTATTTTGACTTCTCATACATCATGTACATGTGGCAATGATGATGCTAGAAAGTTAGAAACAGAAGTAGGAGGAGAAGGAGATAGAAGGGAATGTGGAAGAAAGGAGACCGTAATATATTTAACGTGTTTTTTTGCATAGACTGATATTATTTGGATTTTAGTTAAGATTTACTGTTGTCATGAGATATCTGGATTTAGTTAATGAATGATATATAGCACAGTCATGACATGGGTTCAATGCAGTTTCAAGTTTCGTTTAATGAGATCTTCAGTATAACTACTGAACTCACTGTGTGCTATCTTAACCAACGGAAAAAAAAAAAACTTTCTTATATGCAGGGAGTGCGGTAGAGGTGGCTGGAGCTGTCAGTTACAGCAGTGAAGAAATATCACATACTACTCGCCGACAAATGTATGTCACTGCAGCCAACTCAAGAATGGAGTGCACGGAAGTACACAGTGTTTACCAGTTTGATAACTTGTCGTTTGATGGCAGTAATGAGTCATTTGACACCATAGATAATGAAGGTTATTCTACAGACACCAGTTTCATTGATCAGGTAATGTTAGACTTTATATGGATATAAGTACGTCTGCAATATTTAATGCACACACTACCAGAAAGAATCCCAGGAACTCAGACATCTGCAGCTCAGAAATGAAAACAGAAATGATGATGCTGGTACTGGCTGTGAAATCATAAACTCAGACTGTTTTGCTGATCACTGCAGCAACTGCAGACATTACAAAGGACCTGTTACAGTTCAGCTAGCAAAATATGGACACTAGGTGTGCTGTGTACAGAGCTAGAGATGGTGCTTATTTAGAAGCGCTTCACACCTAACATCTTTTCACCTCATGTGTTAAAAGAAACGGTTTCAATTGATGAGTAAAATATTGCATACAACACCCTCAAATCTGTTTTCATTCATAAAGTACAGATGCCTGAATTTCTGGCATTCATTCCAGCAGACTTTGTATTCTCTGTTCCATTCCTCTCTCCTTCTTCCACCTTCCTCTCATAAATATATTTGTCCATCACTTCCTCCTTGTTTCCCTATTATCACTTACAGTCTAATGAATTGTGGAGCCCACTGGTACAACATGTCACAGTGCCAACTCTTGTGTCACTTGGAACTAGAACTCACCAGCACGGATGGAAGTTTGGCCAGCTCCCCACTGGAAGAGGAAGGTATATTCCAGGGCTGTTTTAGAAGAGGCAACAAGGCCATATTTTAGCAGACATGCTTCTCCACCTTGCTGAGCTCTGTACCAGCGTCCCAAGATTGGGATATGATGAGGGAAGTTAGGTAGGAGATGGCATGTGGTGGGCTCATAGCAGATGGTGGGTTCTGGGTTTCAAATGCTCTGAGCCCTGGTGACTGACTACACACATAGTGTGTGGATGCGTGCACACCCACTTGGGTGTGTGTGTGTGTGGGAGAGAGAGACACACAATTCTGTTCTTTAGTTATAGGACTATGAGGACAAAACATTCCTCTTGTTCTAGACCATAGGTCCTGTGACCAAGCAGTGTGATGTTCATCTGTGTAAGTGAGGTCTGAAAGACTGCAAAGAAGAAGTTGAACCTGTATAAATAAAGTCTGAATTTACCGAGCCTTCACTCTCAAAAGATTTAGACACTTAAGTATATTTTTAACATGTTTGTTTGCTAGTCAAAATTATTTGTTACCTGCCAGTGGTATCAGTAAAGTCTGTTAAAGCTTTCTTCTTTGCCACATTTCATTTCCAAATACAGCCATTTTTATTTATTGCCCGGTAAGTGGTTTTTAAATATTTTCAGCACCAAAATTATGGAATTGATGGCAGCAATGACAGACAAGCACACAGACTGCAGCAGCTGCGTGCTGACAGTGGATATCGAAGCTTGGAGAATCCACCAGCGCCTAACTTAGTCACTCATCAGCAGTCACTTGATATGGCAGCAAGACTATCACCTCTTGTTCACAGCCCTGATGCAGATTATCACTTTGAGTTCCCAGTGTGTTACAACACATCGTGTCATTCTCAGGGGGGAGATTCTAGCATAAAACACAGACACAGTCTTGAAGGTGTGGATGAAGTGATGGCCAGGGACTACAACACCTCTATGCCCCAGTACTGTCATGAACCTGATGAGGGAGTGGCTGGATTGCATTCACCTCCTGCTATAGTTACTGACATCGAGTATGGCTCGTGGGAGAGATGCCAAAGAAAGAATCATCGTTCGGCTTCCAGGAAACGACATGAATATGTTGTTAGTGGTGGTCGTCACTCTCTAACACACCTTGTGACAGATCCAGAGTACTCCCGCTCCCAGTTTTTTCAGAATGTTGGTGCTACATATCCCCGGGACTACAGTATTGATGAGAAGTCTGATGCATTATTTCGCGAGTTCAGTCGTTGTGATCCTGTGAAAACACGACCCTGTAACAGTCACAGACAGCAGTTGATACATTCATTCCCTTATTCTTTTTGGGATCAGAAAAAGAAACTGTTAGAGCCACAAGACAGTGATGAGGAAAGGCTTCCACAGGATCCTCTGTTACTTGATGTGACTACAGATAGCAGTACTGTTTCGTTAATAAAATTAGATGATCATAGCGAGGAAAATTATGGTGACAATGTTGGTGATGACTTTGAAGATGATTATGCTGATAATGACTAACCAGTTGATATTTCTTTATTGTCTTTTTCTATCTCAACACAGCAACTATCAAAATCTCATTCACATTTTCTATATATAATGAGTTCATTGATCGTAATGGTATGGCATAATGCTACATGTTTCGGCTTATAAATTCTCAGGCAGTATACACTAACAACTGTTCTCAAACTATTGACTTGCATTTTATATGAATTCATATATTACAATATAACAATTATTACTAATGTAACTGACTTTAAACATAGTTAATATATTCAGGATTTCATTAGAATTAATATTATTATAAAGATATTAAAATTGGAATAAAAGTTTTATATTAAATGGGTGCCTAGAGATGTACATAAAGGCATATATAAGAATATAAAACAACATAAAAGTAATAACAGTTTTTAAGTTATAAAATTATGAATTAAAATATTGCTCGTTATGTCGTGTTTAAATATATCATGCATAAATACTATTTGTGTTGGTGTCCATTGTTGCAATTATTTTCATGGTCTAGTTTGTTTTATTTCTACTCCAATTTGAGTTCCTTATGGAGCAGTCGTATTGTTTGGAACTAGTTGTTGTGATATTCCATACTGTTTAATTCTATGCTTCCCTGTCTGGTTTTCTTTATTTTATGTGTTTATCCAACTTTTGTGCTTCAGTGTCTGGCTTCGTTATATGTCAGATTGTAACCAGTCTTCCAACATACAATGAAGCCAGGTGGATAAACCCATAAAATAAAAAAGAAACAGACAGGGAAGCATAGAATTAAACAGTATGGAATATCACAACAACTAGTTCCAAACAATACGACTGCTCCATAAGGAACTCAAATTGGAGTAGAAATAAAACAAACTAGACCATGATCATAATTGCAGTGATGGACACCAACATAAATAGTATTTATGCATGGGATATTTAAACATGGCATAATGCGCAACATTTTAATTCATCATTTTATAACTTAAAAACTTTAATTTTTTTATATTGTTTTTATTTTCTTATAGATGCCTTTATGTATATCTCTAGGCACCCATTTAATAGAGAACTTTCATTTCAATTTTAATATCCTTACAATAATATTATTAATTCTATAAAAATGCTGAATATATTAACTATGTGTAAAGTCAGATACATTAGTAATAGTTGTTATATTGTAATATAGGAATTCATATAAAATTCAGTTCAGTAGTTTGAGAAGAGTTAAAATGTATACTGCCTGAGGATGGCTTTATAAGCCGAAATTTTGTAGCATACTGCCATACCATTAAGATCAATGAACTCATTATACACAGTGAAATGTGAATGAGATTTTGATAGTTGGTGTGTTGGAGACAGAAAAATCAATAAAGAAATGTAAACTAACACAACTGGATGCACTCCTTGAAGATTAAACTAGTTAATATATTATTTAATTATGTATAAAGGTGCAGTCCTTGTTTTGTTCCCATATCATTGAAATCACAGATACAAAACTATTTTTTAATGTTTGTTGGCGGATAAAAATGAGAGCAAAATATTTGCTAAACAGTCTTGAAAATTTGCACAATACCTAATCAGATATCCCCAATTATGTAACACTACCAAGCATAAAGTTCAGGAATATATATGAGATAATACAAACAATATATACATTAATTACAGAAGGCCCTGCTCTTGTGTTATGGTTAGTGATCTGCTCAAAGACTAAGAATACCACAGTTATATGCTTAAGAAGAGTTTCAGGGAATGAGCTAAAGTTATATTACCTTTCTGTTGAAGATTCACACTCATGTTGCGTAGGAATGTAAAACTAGAAACTGTTGAAACTTATGCTCAAAGACTAAAAGTAAGACACATAGAAATCACGTAATGGATGCTTTTTAATTAGGTGTACGTGTATCCTCGGCTATTTCCTTGTCAGAAGCTTTAAAAATTTCCATACAAGATGTAAGACTGAATTTGTTATTTGGGACAAGGGACAAGATACATTGTCCTATACTCGTAGATAATAGGTATGTTCTTATTGACTTCCAGCCTGTTGCATACTTTCTGTCAGTGAACTTCTACTACAGCTGTTGCCGTGAACACAGTTGGCCTCATGAACAGTACATACTTGCTGTAGATTAGAAGAATTCATATGCATATAAGAAGAAAAGCAGAGGAGCCCTTGATGTAACAAACTCCAGATATGCCACATTCATCAAGATTCAGCCATCTCCTTTTTTAAACAATTTCTCTATTTTTCTAAGGCACATCATATGGTTCGTAATTATCACCTGTGTAGGTAGTAGGTTGTTTTAGAAGAGAAGCAGTTACAATCTGAAATCTCATCCGTATTTTGCTTCCAAATTTATACTGGTAATATTAAAGATACTGAGGCATATTTTGTGGCTTCAAAAGAAACTTTGTCAGAGTGATGTAGTAATTCTTTTGTAGCAGACACTTGTGGACCAATTATATCATGAGATGCCTTGACATACTGTGGGGATGAATTAAAGTACAGAGACACATACTGAAAAAGGCAGAGTAGGGGGGGACTAAAAAGAGAAAATTGGGCAGTTATTTCTTTAAAGTATATTATCCTACCACAGTTACTGAAAATATTAAAAAGAATGGCTGAAGAGTCTCAGTTCAGGGTAGAAAGTATGATTAAATATGGCGGCACTTCTACATTCAGTGTTTCCCCCAGGCAGTGCAGCAGTTAAATTCAGTTCATGAACTGGGTATTTATCTTAATTAATCTGTTTAGATATAGATGGTAAGTTTGTTAAACTTTATGTTTCAGATTTCTCAGTACTGTAGATGTATAGACATGTATTTGTTGTTTAAGGTAGATTTCTGGAAGATGTTTTATTTTCGTGCTTCTGTGTGGGTGCTACAGAGAGCAGCACATGACTAAATTGAGAAGACTAGAGAGAGGGTAGTATGAGTAATGAACAAATGCATGTCTTCTGTGCAGTTTGGTCCAAAATATGTGTTATATTAATTGTTTTATTAAGTGATATGTGAAATTTGTTTTTTTTGGACTTCATCACGGAATGTATACCCTATGTTAACTGTGGATGTAACCATTTATGTGAAACCTTTGCAGCATAAATGTACTGAATTTTCTGATTCCTCAGTTTCGTACACAGTATGGAATCTTGAGTGAGGATCCTTCCAATACTGAGTTTGAAACCGCACTCAATCTCCTCTTATTTTCATTTGCTTTTGTTTCGTTTCTAAAGGAAATAAGTAAGTGAGATGTGGGACTGGTCCTATAAAATGTGTTCAAATACGTTAGTTTGACAGAATTATTCAAGAGACATTAGTTTTCAGATATACTTAGGAAGTAATAGAACTGATCACCAGAAGTCATTTTGCAGGATGATTATCAGCTTTTTCCTTGCTTAAATTAAAATTTAAGGGAAATGTTCCAAATTAAACAAAAAATTCCTGCAAATATAAATCACTCCGTCCAATGTGACCTGTAAGTTTTTTACTGCATGAAAACTTAACACCCTTACATGTTTCGGTCTGTTTGTGAAATGTTCAATTTTGTGTACTATGTATTGTAGTATATAAGTGTACGTACTTTACATCTAAACAACTTATGTGATGGTGGTTTCCTATTTGTAGTGATGTTTGCCCTCTGAAGATGGTCCACAGAGACCGAAACATGTAAGGGTGTTAAGTTTTAATGTAGTAAAAAACTTACAGGTCACATTGGACGGAGTGATTTATATTTGTAATTGTTAGTGTGATGGACCAGAATGAAACAAATCAAACTCATTAAAAAAAATTCCTGCATAACAAACTATATAAAATTACGTATTTAGAAAGCTTAATAAAACTTCATTGCACTGCAGAATAAGCAAAGAATTGTTACTTTTAACATATAATTTAAATCTTTGCTTCGTACAGTTACTGATGAATTAAACATAGAGTTATATGGACTAACAATTTTGAGTCTGACACTTTATTGTTATGAGGGTACTGTATGTTAAATAAAATTATTAGACTAATGTATCTACATGAAAATATACAGTAAATGGAGGTACGTACTGAAGTACTCATAATATGTTATTCTACAATGAGAGCACCACATAGAACAGTTAAATTAATTGAATTCTATTCATTACAACGTTTACAAAGGGTAATGAAATCAAACTCTTGTTCCTATCATTATCTGTGTCTTGCCATACTTGGAGAAAATGTTATCCTGCAGAACCCTCTAAGGCAGGTGGTCATTCTAGACTTGTGAAATAGTTCCAGTGTACATTTAAAATATATCCAAATTAATAAAGGTTATTCATTTTAAATGGGATGCTCAAAACAACCTGTATTGTTAAATTGTTAATAAAGTGTAATTAGCTGTCAGAGCATTGTGTCCTGTAGTTACTATTGTAGACAATAGATGGTTAGATCTCTATAAAATCTCACTTTCTATCAGAAAATAAACTTGATAATTCATTGAAGCTGCCACCATATAAACTTATATATCTGTTCTGAATTTGTTTTTGATTTTGGGTCCAAATACTGTTTTGTTCCATAAGTAAGGAATTACTTAATTAGCCTTGCAGTGGTTGAGTCTGAGTCTCTTGATGCTTAGCGTACAAGTGGGTCTATTGTATCAGCCTCAGATGATAGATGAGGGAATGGAGAAATAGTAACATTGTGATTGGTGAGAAAACTGAAGTACTAGGAAACAAACCTATTTATATAAAGGTTGTATATCTGAGGCACAACATGTTTCGACCCCTAACGGGTCATCATCAAGTGCTGAGCCCGTACCTAATATGGGTCCATATTGTAGGTTGCTCTTTGTTTTGATATTGAACTTGTTACAAGCTTCTCAAAGATAAAATTAAAAATAATTTATTAAAAATATTATTGTAGATTATTAAAATAAAATTTAAGATTATATGTATAAGCATATTATTCTTCACACGCGGTAGCGTAGTTGGTTGAGGCACTATGTTACAAGCCGGAAAGTTGCTGGTTCGAGTCCTGGTGAGGTGGATTTTTTTCAATTTACCTAATCTTTCCAGCCACACCATGGTCCTGGGGTCGACTCAGCCTCTAACAGAAATGAGCACCAGGAATCTTCCTGAGGCTAAAGGGCCGACAGTGCTTAAGGCTGACAACCTTACCCCCATCTGTGAGCCGATTGTCTAGAGAAAATGTGAGAGCCTCAACCTCTCAGAACTCTATGGGCCTTCATGGCCTATTGCAAGGATAGCTTTGCCTTTATGCTAATCGTGTATTCTCATTCTTGGAGGATGTGGATTCTTGAGTGGAGTAGTCACTCTTTGGTTGTTATGTCGGTATGGTGGTGTTGTGACCTTATTTTCTTAATGTACGAAGTGTTGCGGCTGGCTTGCGGTTGATTGTCTGGGTACAGCCTATCATATGATTAATGCAGTGGTTCCTAAAATACAGAATACACAGGAATTCTGAGTATCCAAAAAAGAACTCCAGAGTTTTAGCCATGAATATTAATTCTGAGAATTTAGCGAACTCCTAAGAACACATTACTATCATTTTCAAGTTCGCCACTTAATGTTATCAACTAATAGCTGGTCAAAAAGAAATTTAAATAAATAAGAAGGAAGGTATGTAGGAAAGCGAGGTAAAAGAAATGAGGAGAGAAAGTGGAAACAGATAATAAAGAAGCCGGAAAATTCAGCTAGATATAATGTGATGTAATACAGGAGTATTTAGTTTGAATTTCTGACGTGTGATATGTTTGTAGTTTCTTAGCTGACAGTGCCATTGAATCAGACTGTAATGTGTTTTACCTTGGATGACAATGAACAGTGAAATGGAAACTTGTGGAAGGAAGGAGTTCAAGCCGAATTTAGGGTATTATGCTGGAATCTTTCTGGGGATCTGAGGAATCCATGAAAATCCCCAATGTTGATTGTCTATGTCTAGAGAAGTTTTGAACCAGGCACCTCCGAATACAAATCAGAATTGTTACGGTTTGAGCCAAATTTGTCGGCAAGTATGGTTTGGTTCGTGAATATAATGTAGCATGAAGAACCGTTGCTGTGTAATGGCCTTATAAACAACGCCTGCTGCTAGGCAACGACCGCGGAATAAGCAAATATACGGCAGCCTTTAATTAGCAAACAAACATGTTCCCAAGGCAAAATGAACTACAATAATGAGGAACGGTGTTTTCTACACGGTCCTTGCCGAAGTGTTATAGACAGGACAGGTCTGGAACTTCTGTGAGTTCAGTTGGAGTCGCAGAGGAGTAGGAGGTTGGTGTGAGATCACCGCGAGCCTGGGAGTTAGTGCATTGTGGTGAAGGGAAGTGAAGATTTAGTTGGTGAGAGCTGCAGTTTATTTTGTTTTGAGATTACAGTCAGCTGGTAAAGATGTAAGCATTGGACATTGTTAGGATCCGTTCCCAGGAAACGACTAGTATGTGCTGTAGTGATTGCAGAGTGTATGAATTAGCGATATAGTGCCTCATACACGAGATAATACGCTATAAATACATGGAGTGAGTGCTGTGGAACATATTTAAATTTATAAACGCATATTTTAGTAGGAAAGCTGCCCCAAATGGGAAAATACTTAGGTCCCTTAGAGTTTCGCTATAAAACGTTTAACTGAAATTCAGTAATAAGAGTTTTGACTAAAGAACCACTGGTAAGACATGTGAAGCATTGATTCGCCTCTGTTGCTTCCTTGGTATTATTCGGACACAGAAGTACATAATCAGCTCCACAGCACTGATGAGGCTGGCACCAAGAAAGAGACCGGTTGCACCTCCCATTGACACTGCAATCAAGAATATAGCATTCGTCCTGTTAGTCTGTCCATTTTGAGGGGCACAGGAGAGATTAATATTTAATTAAGACCTCAATTCTGAAGCAAATTTCAGCAATACCAGAAAACGTGGCATGACGAGCACTGGGAAACCTGCGAGCAGGCCTGGAATAGGTGGCCGCTCAGGTGGTTAGTTGCCGGTTTCCCACCGCGACGGTCCAGGCTCAAGCCCAGGTCCGGTCATGTGGGATTTGTGGCGAGCAAAGTGGCACTGGGACAGGTTTTCTCTGAGTACGTCGGTTTCCCCTGCCAATTCCCATCCCACCGTCTGCTTCACATTCATTATCATCTGGGGCTGGTACAATAGGCCAGAAGAGGCCGCAGTACAAGGGACCTAGTCCCACCCCACTAGCAATAACAAATAGGGTGAGGCGAAGTGACAATCATGTATGTAGATAGAATATGAGTATTTGAAGATGACCTGTGACAATCGAAACCTGTAGTGGGTAGCACATAATAAATGTAAACATTTACATTTTCATAAACAGTGACTTTTATAATTAGTTTTGTCCTCCGTCACCACAGTGCACTTTAACGTACGTTCATATGTCTATACATACGTGTATGTTAGAGTAAGACAAACAGATCAGAGGATGACAAAAAAATGTGTGTGTTGGAACATCTTGACTCAATTTTGTTATCAGCCTTCTCGAAGTAGTAAAAAAAAAACTTGTTTCACTCATGTGATCGAAAAAAGTGAATAATTGTTTTATTGTGTTAGCAATGGAATGAAATTTATATGTGTAAGATTCACCAACTAAGCCCAGTTTGCTTCGTATGACGTTCCTTCTGAATCTCACAGTTGGCAATGACAGCATCTGCAGTTGGTAGTGGCTCCAGTCAGAAGTGTTCCTGCAAATTACGTAACAGTCAATCTAGGAAGTCAGAAAATTGCGTTGGACCTACAATTTATAGTGGCATTTGTTTCACATTCACTTGCTTATATTTTTACTCAGGTTTCTGAAGATACACTGTACAGAGTGTCCCGAAATTATCGCCTGCGCACTGCATATAATTCGTGACAAATATTGCGCCGAAATGTCCTTCGATAAAATTTTGCATGAGTCTTTAATTTTCACTGGAAACTCGATTAAAATTGAATTCGATTCCACAAAATGTTATGCATTCTTCATCACATTTTCGGCTAAAATTGTCAATCAACATTTTCGTATGAATGTTGATCAAGGAATCACCTAGTTATGTCCTTATGAGGGAGCTTCATGACCTTCATGACAGTCTGTATATCTGATATTTCATTGGACTCCTTAAATTATATCAATATTGTCTTCTATGCATTTCGTGTTCCAATAAGCTGATAGTTGCTGCGTATTCGCGACAGTCTTTCAGAATAAGTATTGGAGACTTGAAATTCGTTGAAATTGTGAGAAGTTTCTGCAAATTACACGTTGATCAAAACATCCCCAATAGAAAAACAATCTTAGTTTGAGCTTCAATTTAAATACGGATTTACAATTCACATTTTTGTGCTGATTAATAATATTTTCAGATAATCAATTATTCGTTGATAACACGCTATTCCAGTAAATTGGATTAATTTTTCTTGGGAGAAAGCAGTGCCATTAAATTATTTCTGATGCATTGAATGTGTAAATATTAAAATAATTCTTATGCTTTTTTGGCATCGAAGGCAAGAGTAAAGGGAATCGTGCATATGAAATTTACGTCAGAAAATGAACAGTGTCCAAATTTACTGGTAACGAATTATCCATTTTCACAAACATTTAAAGAATTAGCCTTAATCTTTCCAGTTTCGAGGCTGTCACAGAAGTGATTAGGAAGAACTGGATGTGACTCAGCCTCACGCTCCAGCAGAAACTACTCTTCGCCCTTCTGGCTGTAGCTTTTCTCTGTGCAGTTTATAGAGAGTAAATTGACAGAAAAATGCTGGATCCAACCAACGATCATTGCACTGAAATAAAGATCTTAGTGTCTCGTTTTCGGGTAGATGAAGCAAGGAACATACACATATTTTAAGTTAAAACGTTCATTTAAGGAGACATTGAAAGTTTTCAAATACCAACAATGAAAATACTAATAATTCCAATGATAAATTGCTTACGAGAAAAGAAGTGCTGTATTTTGGAATTTGGCCAAATGGTTATACACAATATTGGGGCACGCGGTAGTGTAGTGGTTGAGGTGCTACGCTACAAGCCGGAAGGTCGCGGGTTCAAATCAGTTGACCTAACCCTTTCAGCCGCACTAGGCCATGGGGTTTACCAGGAATTAATTAAATAATTTTCCTTGCGGTAAAGGGCGGCCGGTGCGTAAGGCTGACAATCTTACCGCCACCTTTGAGCCGATTGTCTAGGAACTGTGGGAGCCTCAACGTCTCACAACCCTATGGGCCTCCACGGCCTGTTACAGGGATAGCTTTACTTTACTTGCATACACAATATATTCAGTGGCTTCCAGCACGAAGTTCATTATTTAAATGACATGAAGGTAAAAATGTAAAGTTTTCCTTATGCTTAATTAAGCATCACGCAATGAAGATGTATGCGCGAATGAAGGTATAGCTTCATCATTCTCGGCACTGGATGGAGGTGAGTGGTCAGCTTCACGCCTCTTTCGCTTTAACCCCTAGGAAACAACCCCGTACCTATTAAGTAGGAGACTGGGCGGGCCTCAGAGTTTGTCTTGAGGTTATGGGGAAGAGAAAAGTCTTGCCCTTGCTGGGAATCGAACCCTAGTCGTCCAACCCATAGCCCGTCCTGTACCGACTGAGCTATCCCGGTTGTTTGGATGAGAATTAAGGTAAAATGTAATCAAATGACAAAGAAACGGAGATTGTAGCCTTGTGGGTTGATGCGAGACTGGGGGAGGTGTCACAACCCAGAAGTCGCTGCGAAAGTTTCAAGTGGAGGTAATGGAATTTTTAAGGGCCGAAAAATTCAAGGAACAAGTCCTTCGGGAGGGACTTTAAGCCGTGGGTCCCGTGTCGTAGCTTTACGGCACGCAAAAGAACCTCATATCTCCAAAGGAGGTCACTTAGCCAAATTCAAGGACATTTCCCTCCCAACAGTAGTCTCTAACGCCTCTGATAGATGGGGGAAGCATTATAGATACCGCCAAGCCAGTAGAGGCCGAACTCGCTGGCTCGGGAGGGACTGATGGTACGCACCAATATCGGTAGGGTATAGAGACTGGTAGAATATCATAGAGGGAAGCACAATGGACAAATACTGGTCTAAGTGCATGGGGAAACCCACCCTCTCCAATAACTAACTAACTAACTCCAGTGACTTACATATATATAGGAGCGGTGGTTAACATGGTGTACTCCGGCTCGGAGCAGCTCGGCGTCGCGCATGCGCAAGATACATTTAGTTCTGGGTGTCCCGTAGCTGTTATTTCGTACAGGAATTCTGTGGAACAAAGGACCTAGTTAAAAGAAACGCATTCTCATGTCAAAAAGCATAACTTGTACTCATCATCAAATATTATTAGGGCCGTTAAGTCAAGGAGGACGTGATGGGATGGAAATAAGGAATTGTAATGGAAAACCTAACAATAGACACCACTTGGAAGAAATAACTGTTGATGGAAGACCAATATTAAAGAGGATCTTAATGATGTGGGGTGTGAGCATGTGGACTGGATTTGTGAGTCTTGGTACAGGAACCACTGACATGTTAGGCCTCAGGGTTCCATAGAAGGCAGGGAATTTCTTGCCTAGTCGATTTCTCGCTTCGCAGGAAGCAACTTGTCTCATTTCTTTCGCCAGAGTCTTTATTTGTCAAACTTTGAACTAAATATGAAAATAAATGAAAAAGAATAAGCAAAGTCTACGCTCAGTTGGTTCAGGTACTGTGCTACAAGCCGGAATGCTGCGAATTCGAATCCCCATGGGGTCACTGGATCTATCACTTTACCAAATCCTTCCAGCCTCACTATGGCCCTACGGTCAACACAGCCTCTAACAGAAATGAGTACCAGGAATGTTCCTGGGGGTAAAAGGCGGTCGACACGTAAGGTTAACAATCTCATCGTCATCTATGAGTCGATTGTCTACAAAATGTGGGAGCCTCGACGTGTCACAACCCAATAGGCTTTCACGGATGTTACAAAGATAGCTTTACTTTTATTTTTTGTTTATTTTATCTTTTACTCTTCTGTAATTTATGTAGCATCAATTTTAATATGAATTGAAAAGTACATAAAAAGAAAATTTCTCGTCCCCCCCCCCCCAAATTTTATCAGAATGTACGTGAAGGAATATAGAAAACCCGAGAAAGTTTTCAGGATATGCAGCTTCGGTAATGGAGAGAGACGGATAACTTACGAATGTTTGGTTGTTAAGAGTAACGCTTCCCAAAGATGTTTCCAACATAGACAGAAACATTATAAAATGCGTGATTTACCTGAGTATTTATGGATGCACATAATTCCTTCTAGGTCGCATATCCTGCCTAAACCTACAAAGGTGAGAATACAGTATTAATATACACATTGCAAAACTATGAATTCTGCAATATTATGAAGTGCGTTGTGCCGTGAACCTGTTGCGTAGTGGTGGACGCAACCGCACACTTGCAGCTGCGCCTTAGCCTGGCACTCTGTGATGCACGCTGAGGAGCTGTACAGTTTGTACATGCGCAGTGGGTTCTCATGTTGCAATACGCAGCCTCTCTGTGACACGCTTAGGCTTGAAATGTGGGGATCGTTGTCTATTTCCGTTATCTGCAAGAATAAGTAGAAATATATATATATTCAGATATGTGCACTTAGAAACACTGCTAATTGTGGAAATTCGGATCCTCTGGAATGTTACGCCGTCTAGTCTGGTAGAATTTGACAGGCGATTCGGTCAGAACGTAAGCAGTATGTTCCTCTGAAACGTCGGTAAATCTCTAATAGATTACACATCTCGGAATTTAGTCTTCTTCATTTTTACTTCTGTTTCAGTTCCAGGAGTTGATTTCCGTCTCCATGTTTTATAACAAGAATTTCATAACATTATTATAAATTTTTCGCAGAAGTTCTCGCTGAGAGAACAGTTCTATCATATCTACACACGTGCTTAGATCAGAGGATGCTTGTGCACGCACACACACACACACATTGTGACGTGAATGTGAATCTACTGGGTGATAATGTAGATACCATAAAGAGAAACACACAAACTTTAATTGACGCAAGTAAAGAGGTTGGTCTAAAAGTAAACACAGAGAAAACAGTAAAACAGCTGCCTCGTCACCAAAATGCAGGAAAAAATCACGACATAAAGATAGGAAACAGATGTTTTGAAAATGCGGCACAGTTCAGATACTTGGGAACAACAATAACAGATCAAAACCTGATTCAGCAGGAAATTAAAAGGAGAATGAACTCGGGCAATGCTTGCTACCATTCAGTCCAGAACCTTTTGTCTTCTCGTCTGCTGTAGAAAAACATAAAATTAGAATATACAAAACTATAATTTTGCCATTGGTTCTGTATGGGTATGAAACTTGGTCTCGGACTTCAGGGGGGGAACTTAGACTGAGGGTGTTTGAGAACAGGGTGTTGAGGAGAATATTTGGACCGAAGAGGGATGAAGTGACAGGAGGTTGGAGAAAAGTGCATAATGAGGAGCTTCATAAGTTGTACTGTTCTCCAAGTATGATTAGAATGATCAAGTGAAGGAGGATGAGGTGGGCAGGACATGTAGCACGAATTGGGGAGAAGAGGAATGCATGCAGGATATTGGTGGGAAAGCCGGAAGGAAGGAAGCCACTAAGAAGCCCAAGACTTAGGTGGGTGGACAATATTAAAATGGATCTTAGAGAGATAGGATGAGATGGTAGGGATTGGATTGATCTGGCTCATGATAGGGATCAGTTGAGGAATCTTGTGAACACGGCAATAGACCTTCGGATTCCATAAAATTCTGGGAAGTTCTTGAGTGACTGCACAGTCAACAGGTTCTCAAGAAGGGCTCAGCTCCGTGAATGAGTGGTATATTGTGATGTGATATGACCGTTGCTAGAAAACGCTTCGGTAAACACCGCCTGAAAGCCGGAATAGTGGAGCCATAGCGGACGTCAACTGGTGAGCAACGGCTGGTAATCACGTTCCGCTGCGAAGATGAGCACCGAAGGAGCCGTTGCTAGGTAGCAGACCGCTAAACGCAGTTTCGTCTGCAGCGGATAACAGGGATACAAGAGGAACCGTCTGGAAGTTGTAAGACTTCAGTAATTCAGAGTTCAATGATTCAGTGAGGGGTGATTCGTCGTTCGTCATCTGTCACAGTGGAAGAGAAGGGCTGGCGAGCGTCTAGACAGCCATTGATTGTGAGCTGTTATAAGTTGCGTATTATAATTGTAAAGAAGTGCCCATAAATGTAATCATCGAATTCAGAACCCGTTATTAATAGTCACGACAACCCCGAATATCTGATAGTATATATACATATGTGTCTGCATGCGTCCACCGATTTAAGGCGTTATTTTAATTTACTCACACGAAAGTATACAGTATAGGAGTATCCCAACCCGCTGTTTCCCAGATCTGGTTCAGCCTGTTGTCCCAAGTGGAAGGCATCTTCAGGCGAATGGACGTATATCTACCAACAAAAGCTGTGTTTCTCAGAATCGCGGCTTACATTCTAATGGACATTATTAAGAATATCAGGCACCGTTAGTTAATTTGTATGTGTATGATATCTATCAGTGTGCTTGATTTGTCTGCAAAATTACTTCGCTGCTTCAATTATATTTGATATTATTATCTACTCTAATATTTGTGGGTCGGAATTAATTTTTGTTTGCATCGGTCTACAATAACCCATAATTTGTATGAGGCTTAAACCAACATTAAACTATCTTCATATATATTGGCTTGACGTTAGAAAAGGTATAGTTGTCCCTTTGCTTAATTAATTAAGCACTACGCCATGAAGCCGTATGGGGACTGGATGAATTGCTTCACCATTTTTTATTTCGGCAGCAGTTGGGTCTGCTTATTGCATAAAAATGTATACCTAATATAATAAAAATATTATCAAGATCTGCAGCTTATACTTCAAATGGTTTTCAACATAACGGCCGTTAATAAAATTAAAAAACAAATCAGTTCATATTCTCTACCTTATGATGTCTCCAGTGTCGTTAACTTCACTGCAGTACGTTCACAGCTCAAATAGTAAATTTTTATCTTCAATAAATTATGTTTTTAATCAGTGAGACGTTCAAACTGACGAAGTTCGTAATTTTAATACACACACACTCACACTCACACACACACTACATACTTTCTCACGTTGTGGATCACGAACCCTCAGATGTTAGTGACCTACTTTAATGGTGATCCGGAAGTTCTCAAGAATTATTTAAAATACAGTTAGTTACTATAGGATTCTGACGATGGTGTATAACACACAGAGATATTGGGTTTTCAGACTTTATCCATCGTCCTGGTTTTAAGATAACTAAGAAAAACACTACGTTTCGGAAACTGGATCTGTTTCCGTCCTCAGGTCCTCTCTGCGTAAAATACAGTTGTATCTACGCACAGTTTTAGCAATTTAGTTACTCCGTAACACTGTGCTAAAAGCCGGGAGATCGCGGGTTCGAGTCCCGATGAGGTCGATGGATTTTTTTAGTTGACCTAATCCTTCCAGCCGCACTAGGCCCTGGGGTTTACTCAGCCTCTAACAGAAGTGAGTACCAGGAATTAATTAAATAATTTTCCTGGGGGATAAAGGGCGACCGGCGCGTAAGGGTGACAGACTTACCGCCTTCTGTTAGCTGATTGTCTAGAAAATGTGGGAGCCTCGAGTCTCACAACCCTATGGGCTTCCACGGCCTGTTACAGGGATGGTTCCACTAGTAACCTCCTCAGGACTTAATACAGACTGTTTGAGAAAATGCGGCTGCTTTCGACAAAATATATCACGAATTTGCGGGACTGTGTAGCAAAACGTTACAGCTTCTGTATGTCCTCTATGCGTAGAGCACGTAATGCTGTGAAGGGGGGAGGTTCTCTTAAGTTGAGGTATTATTTTCGAGGGTTGCTTTACCACAGACTCTGAGAACCCTCGGTTACTTTCTTGTCTATCCAATGCATGGCAAGAGTTTATGTCCGTCTCACGACGTGGTGATTTTCAAAGGCGAGGCTGCAAGCAGGAAGAAATGTAATTAATTGGCTGTAATGAGGAGAAGAGAAGGAGACGGATAAGGGTATGAGAGCGATAGTGGGAAGAAGAGATCAGAATGAAGGCTGAAGATACGGAACAAATGATTCTCCGTTGAGTGTCCGAGTGCTTCTTCACGGTCATGTAAACATGTAACACTTTCTTCAGTTCTGGCTGTTTCCTACCACAGACATTACAAGAGAACGCCCAAAGGTACTAAATGTACTCTTCTCTTTTCTATTTGTCGGTGGCCACGGTTGTTAAAGCGAAGTGCATGTGTTTCCTTTAGTCTCTGCTTGTAAATCCCATTCTCTTTGCATTCTCTCCTTCTCCTCTAATTACATGAATAACATTCCGCGTCTTCATTTTAGACGGAGTATATGATATCATATTTCCATACTGCAAGCAAAATAACAATATGTCGGGGGAAATAAAGGCAGGTCTCGTTGCATAAAATAAAACTGTTCGACTTCAATAGTTTCTTACCTCAGAATCGACAAACGTTTTAAACTGAAGACTTCCAGGACCAGTGATTTTGTTCGATATTAGATCAATTGTTTTATGGTTAGTGATGTTCCTCCTGCAACAGGAATAAGAATAATTCGAAACATCTCACTTTACCTGACGGTTTTTTTGCTTATATGCTGCACTTTGAAGCAACATATGTTATCCCCAGTTCAGTCAATGCCTTTAGCGCCACCCCTGCCTCGCAGCGTGCGCTGCTTGTTAAGATTACGAACATGAACAGGAGAGAGTTGCCTGCTCTCCGTTTGTTACAACTGACAAACGAAAATATGACTGATATATAAATATAAGCGCATTTTACATCACTGTAAAATTATAGAAAGATAAGCAATGTACGCGTAGTGTAAGAAGTTTGCTTAATTGTATTAACGCTAGAGTGCGTGAGCGTCCCATTCATGTGCACAGTTTTGCGCGGGTTACTTTTAGATCCGAGAAATATTTTGCTGGTTGCACTGGAAATATCTTCAGAAACGCACGTAGATCTTCATGTAAGATGTGCGTTATTTAACCCCAATTGAAATGAGTCGACGTAATTGAGTGGAACTCCGCAGAAATCAATCGAATAATAAAAAAGAGCGTAGCTATTCTCGGTTTGTCACATCGCTACCGACAGATGGCAGGGTGGACTGAGCTATTTCATTAGGCCTTCCGAGGGGATGTAAACGCTCCTGACGCGAATGGATTATTTTTATTATTTTGGAAGCATTGCCGTGTGTAGTGTTACATCCATTACCGCGGTATAAGCATTTCTACTCGTCAGTAACGGTTGTACCCTCCGGGCGATTACCACGCAGTCCTCAGGAAGACCTAATTTACTTGTCACCATCATTTGCAATTCATTAATCACTAACGACCCTGTAATTCTATGAGGTATATTTCCAGAGATTGAAAGCGTTGGTCTATCTATCTATCTATTTATCTATCTATCAATGGCTCTAAAATCTTGTGGACCTTGGCCGCTTTTACAGTTTCTTGATCTATACACAACCGGTAGGACTCCTTGGACGGGGGATCAGTCCGTGGCAAAGCCGCTACCTATACACACAGACATCCATGCCTCGAGTGGGATTCAAACCCTCGATTCCAGTGTTTGAGTGGGAGAAGACAGTTCATGCCTCAGACAGCGCGGCCACTGTGGCCGGCTATTACACAGCCTAGCGAGTTAATAACGAAGTCTGCGTATGTTCATTTCCCCCATCTCCCATCGAGAGGCTTCACTGTAATATTATCATATTAGTCGTTAGAACCCGGCCAGATTTCTGAGAAGACCATGGGCCATTATTGCTATGCTTATAGTTCTGCTGGAGACCGCGCAAGTCTGTGCCCTTGTTGCATTACTTACGGTGTTTGATATGAGTTGATGGCGTAACAGATCCCGTAGGGCGTGAGCTCTGGGTAAAACTTCTCGCAGCAGTCGAATTGCTTGCTATTCCAGAAACAGTCTCCCAGCAAAGAGGAGCAACTTGATAAAACCTGTAACAGGAGTTAGCGAAACTCATGTTCCTGCATGATAAATACATGTCACTAATGGAATTCTAAACAGAATATTCCTATATGTATTCTTTATTTACCTATACCGTGGGATTGTTTCAGAAAAAGGGAACACATCCTACTGAAGGGAATATTTAGATGCACGAGAGGAAATAACAAAGGGCTGCCGAGATTCCAGTAATTCAGTTAAGATATTTATTTTGATGTGCCAACTCACAGCTGTAGGAGCCATCCAGTGACATAATCAACAATATATAACAAAGGAGGAGTTAACAATATGAAGAGTTTCATCGCCATATCCCGCGAGAGTGATCACGTCAAGAAGCGTGGGCTGCATGAGATAGATAACTCGCATGGGAAAAGTGGCAAATGCATGTAAGACTTAACAGGAAAATTTTGATGGGGAGGTATCCCCATGGAGGGGATGGTGGAATAATTAATTTCAATTTCCTTCTTCCCTCGGTGCTCTTGATTCTGTTACATCAACAATGTTATATATAATGCCCCACAGATAAAATTCTAAATCTGTTAAGTCATAAGCTCGGGGATGGATAATTCACATCCACCTACCGGGAAAAGGCATATCGAGAAGATCAAGAACGTTTCTCATATCGGTGTAGTAATGCGGTGGATACTGCCATCTAGCGAAGTGTACAAATACTAAGTGTTGCACTCTTCTGTCATCTTTCCACGGTTAGCTCTTCGTTTTAATATGCGTTCTTATCAAAAGTAATATGTATATATTTTATGCAACACTCTGTATTTGTCAGAAGTATATAATATTCGGGCCGCGCCATAGCTCAAGCGGTTGTCGCTGGCTTCCCATCGCGGTGGCTCGGGTTCGATCCCGGGTGTGGTCAAGTGCGATTTGTGGTGAGCAAAGTGGCGCTAGGGCGGGTTTTCTCCGAGTACTTCGGTTTCCCCTGCCAATCTTCATTCCACCAATTGCTCCACAATCACCCTCACCTATCATCTGGGGCTGGTACAATAGGCCAGAAGTGACCGCAGTACAAGGGACTTAGTCCCACCCCACTAGTAATAAAAAATATATATATAATATCCGAATGCTGAGTCATCGGAAATACATATAATTCCCACACAATAATTTCATATTAAATGCCACAATTTATCTAATGGAGGTGTTCATAATTGTTATGTTTACCTGTTTGGCCAAGTCTAAAATATTTCTAGGGCATTCTGTTGGACCGCTGCAATGTATGTGGCAGTTACTGCATTTGCCCTTGTAGTAAATCATTTCTCTCAGATACATTACCAGATTGCTCAGCGTTGCACTGTCTGCCTTCGGGTACATCCTGCAAGAATTTGTTGCTATAGTTTGATGGTGATGATGACAAAAGCAAAAATGTTATGGCTAAAGGCGACGATAAACTTTACAAAGGTCTATACTACGCATATCAATAATTTATAAAGCTCGAAGATTTCGTGACAACTAAAAGTGAAGAATCATTTCAGATAAGCAGCTGTGTTAAATTCGAAGTTGAAATCCGGACTTTCCAAGACCTCTGTCTCCACCTGCTATCCGAAATGACGCAGCTGCTGGACGGAGAATATTTTAGGATTAATAACACAGCATACCAAGCATTTTCCAGTAATCACCACACACATGCACATGTAACACTTTTCGATCTATCGTTATGCACGTCTGCAGCCATCACAATTGGTGCTAGTCTCGAGTAGGTACATAAAATGGCCGCTTTAAACAAGACCGGAAAGCATGCTTATGCCGATATTGCAGCGTTTACCTTTGAACAAGTATTTTCATAGTGTGCCTCCAGACAGCATCACCGCTTATTGAAATTTGCAACTTTGTAGCATGCACAATGAGTGAAACTGTGATTTTATCGCCTCTCTAGAGTTGCAATATATAAAAGTGGGTCACGGTGAAGTAAGCACCATATGACCAATCATCGCGTTGAATAACCGCTACCATTTTCCTTAAAATTTCGATGTTGGTTATCAAAAAAAGTAAAGGTATCCCTGTAGCAGGCCGTGGAGGTCCATAGGGCTGTGAGATGTTGATGTTCCCACATTATCTAGACAATTGGCTCATAGATGGCGGCAAGGTTGTCAGCCTTACGCGCCAGCCACCCTTCACTCCCAAGAATATTCCTGGTACTCATTTCTGTTAGACGCTGAGCGACCCCATGGCCATAGTGCGGCTGGAAGGATTAGGTCAATTGAAAAAAAAATATCCAATGACCTCAATGGGACTTGAAACCGCGACCTCCCGGCTTGTAGCATAGTGCCTAAACCAACTAATTAATAAGTATTAGAAAAGTTTACATTTAATTATTGTCGTCATTAATATAGTTTGTAGCAATATACTCTTATTTGAAATACTAGCTTATTATATTGTGGGCAAAATAGCTAGACATCTCGTCAGAGCACTAACCTCTCTGCTAGGTTCCATATCTTGTTCTTGTCTAATTTCTCACACACCGTGACAGCTGGGAACCCGGTGTTCCAGTGGAGGTACGTTGTGTCGGGTGCGAAGCTCACGGCACTATGTTGGAATGCCTCCATAGCTGCTCCCCACACGTGACTGCAGCCGCAAACAGACGCGCTGCACGCCGCTAGCCAGAACACCCTGAAGAGTTGGCAGAAGCGTTACGCAAACGTCACGCCTGTTCGCCTGGTCCGTGGCTTGCACCTTGCCCTCACGATTAGGCTTACCGTACTTTAACTAACCAACAAACCAATTAATAACTAACAGCTAATATGTAATTTACCAACTACTTAACAAAACACGCACTGAACAACTAAATTAGTGTCACGTGGTCGGGGATAAGCGTGACGAATAATTGTGAGCTCTAGATTTCATTATTAGGTTTATTGAAATTTTATTGAAATAAAATTAGGTTTATTAAAATGGGTATAAAAATAAGTGTGAACCCAACCAATTCTTTTACGATTCTTTAATTATATAAGTTGATTCTATGTTTGTGAATTACTGATAGTCATTAAATGCGCCGTGAACAATTTAATGCATTAAGAAATCAATATGGACCGCGCCACAGCTCAAGCGGTTAATCGCTGGCTTCCCACCGCGGCGGCCCGGGTTCGATCCCGGGTCTGGCCAAGTGGGATTTGTGGTGGACAATGTAGCGCTGGGGCAGGTTTTCTCCGAGTACTTCGGTTTCCCCACAATCACCCTCACCTACCATCTGGGGCTGGTACAATAGGCCAGAAGTGGCCGCAGTACAAGGGACTTAGTCCCACCCACTAGCAACAAAGAAACAAATAAATATGAACCACCAGGCGCTTACCTCTCGAACCAGTGTCTTCCGGGCTGAGTAAGGTACCTCAGACCGTGAATTGATGTATTGTCCAAGTAGCCTTTAATTATGAACCAAACTGTCCATCCTTTGAAATATTTCATGTTGCTTATAAATATGTTAATTTGTTGCATTAGCTTGCGATGTTAGTGGTTGCGCCAAACATTTAACATGTTGTAACATGTTCTTTCGTCAGTAACTACTCAGGCCCGTCCACGTATAAGAGAGACCTTTATATCACGCTTGCGACAAATGACATGAACTATATTGTGCCCTTAAACACGGAATACATTAGCAGATAACTGTCTCTGCCCATTATGGACACAATTCTTGTCGCAGGGAATTCTATTTCATTTTATCCCTGCTTCTTGTTGGATAACTATTGAACTATTGATCAGGCGGAAGTAATTCTGTGCTTCTGAGTGCATAGAAAGGTAAAAGGATACTATGATAAACGGATGTAATAGTCAAAGTTTTGTTGCTGTTATTTTTTGCTTCTGTTGATCACCGCACTAATGTAAACAGTGGGTTTGTTACTTTACTTAATGCATATTTATTTCGAGACAAAATTATAACCTTATGTAGTCTAGAAGCAGCAGATGTGTGTGATATACGTATATATTTATATAGAATGTACAGGGAGTTTCTTACCTTTGTTGACCGATTGAAGGATCTGCGCTTCACGGCGACCAGTGCCCCGTCGCCTGCGAGGCGCATACAAATTTTACTGATGAATCAGTATACCTGATCACGCGGTGGCATAGTTGGTTGAGACACTATGCTAAAAGATCGTGAATTCGATTCCCAATGAGGTGATTGAATTTTTCAGTTGACTTAACTTATCCAGCCGCACTACTGCCTTGGTTCAACTCAGACTCTAAGAGAAATGAGTACCAGGAATGTTCCTGGGAGTAAAGGGCGGCCGGCGCCTAAGGCTGACATCCTCACCGCTCTCTGTGAGCTGATTGTCTAGAAAATGTGTGAGAACCTCGACGTCTCACAAGCCTATGTAACTTCGTGTTACAAGGATAGCTTTGCCTTTTTATGAGTATGCACAGTCTCAGTAGTCAGACAGGAAAATTGAACTCTGGTGCATTAAAACATTCAATAAATTTCTCCATTATTTTTTGTTTCTTAGTTATTGCGTTCATACTTCGCAAGTTCGCAGTTAAGGAAGGGATTTTCAATATTAATGAACATGTAAATTTATCGTAGAAAGAAATGAAACGCTAGTACCTTTGGTCATTACAGATGTCACTGCGGTTTACGTACGCCATCGCCACGTGACCTGCAGGCTACTTCCATTTTATCCAGTGTGTTTATATAATTCTTTATTCTGGAATTTCACACAATTGAGCCACACAGCTACAAGCAATATACATATTTGTACGTATCTGCTCATTGTACACAAGTCTTATACGATAAATTCATAATTAAATTAGGCTACATCGTAATCAAGCAAAGGAGTCCTGAAAATGGTGGAGAAGGCTTCCCCTTCTATGCCTACTGGTGTCTTCTCCTTTCCAACCCCATTTGACCTACGTAAGTGAGCCCAGGTGCTGTCTCTAAGAGAAGGTTTGCACTATGTCTCCGTGTTACCAGTATGTCTGAACGGTCCGGACGGCGGTACGGAAATGTAGAGAACTGGGCTGGAGAGAGATTGAGGGAGTTGATGTGTACTTCATATTTTCTTATTTATTGAAATAGCAGGAGAGCAAATATAAGACATTTGGTGTGTGTGTGTGTGTGTGTGTGTCTGTGTGGGGGGGGTATAGACGATTTCTGCTTCAAAGGGCCTTTTGATAAAAACATTTACTGAAACCCTATTTCTGAAATTGAAGTAGGTGGGTTGAAAATATCAGATTGCTTGTTATTGCTTCTGAGCCAGAAATCATATGTGTACATATTCTTTACGTGATAACACAAATATAGAAGTTTAACATAGAACTCTCAGAGCTAGTGATACTTATCGAAGCCATAATGTGCTCATCGCATGGGAAAGCATGATGATGATTTGAATTGTGCGCTTGATGTTATCCGAACTCAGTTTCCTGATTACTACGTTGTGGCTGAAACTGCTGATCGAGCGTTCGTTAATTTCCACACAACATGCACAAACTCCACAAAGCACTAACATAAACCCCTTTGGAATCTTCAGCGGGAAATCGTTAAAAACTAATTTTTAAAGAAATCCTGGACTTCAATAACTTGAGAAGTTCTAGGAAAATACTGCAGTAACATTAAGACAGAATGAGGACATTCGTTAAGCCGTACGCTATGAAGGAGAGTGCTGCAGTACCGACTCAGCTGCTGTCAATCTTTCCTCCCTTGAAATTTTATTTGCTTTGTCACACACAAAATGACAGAATAGCAAAGGCTAGTACGGGGTGCCGCGGGGTACGCGGTCAGGTAGTTTATTCAGGCACTGTGCTACAAAGCGGAAGGTTGTGGATTCCATTCCCTGTGAGGTCTTTACAGTCTTCATTTGACCTAATGCTTCCAGCCGCACTATGGCCTTCGTGTCTACAGTCTTCAGTACCAGAAATATTCTTGTGGTAAAGGGCGGCCGGCGCGTAAAGCTGACACCCTCACCGCCATCTGTGAGCCGATAGTCTAGAAAACATGGGAGCCTTGACGTCTCACAGCCCAATGGGTCTCCATGGCCTCTTACAATATATATACATACAAAAAAACAAACTTCGTGGCCTGTAGTCCGCAAGCGAACTATATATACACAAATACATGTATAATATATATAATATTCGCTAAATCCATTACTTCATTATGGCTGAAGTATGTATGAGTGACAAACCCTACTCTCGGAACCTTGTAAACTGTTGAAAATCTGTAGGCGCTTCTCCAGTTTTCCACATTCAGTTCAATATGATCATGCACAAAGGCATGGGGCCTGCGGCTCACCGTAGTACCTCTTCATTAAAGCCCGTAAAAACGGTTCTCATCAATTACGGAATCATCAAAGCTGAGGTTACCTCCTGTCAAGATTTCAATTCTTGTTATTTTTGGTTGTAAACCCTTGTAAAGTAGTAGGAACCTGTTATTTCCGAAACGCTGATAATTGCCTACCAGAAGCTCTTGTTTAATCACAGGCTAATCCCCGTGGAACATGCAGCGGCAAGAACTTCGAGCTCTCCTGCCGTTCGAGTCCTGTTCCATACCCAGTCATTACAAGGCATTGGCAAAATGGGAGCCGATCACAATGGCCTCGCAGTCTGAGACCTGAACCTTCTCCCGCTCGAACGCTGGGATCATGGGTTCGAATACCACTCGAGGCAAGGACGTATGTGTATGTTTATTCTGTGTGTGTAGGTAGCGACCTTGTGACGGCCTGATCCCCCGTCCAAGGAGTACTACGGGCTGTGTGTAGATTAGGAAACTGCAAAAGCGGCCAAGATCCACAAGGGCTGTGCAGCCATAGGTAGATAGTACAAAAGGGCTTATTCTCATTCCAATTCTACAAGAACGAGAGCTACGAAAGCCTAAAGGCCACAGTCTGTGTACGATATGCTGCAGAGCAATGACCAGAAAGGTTTAGCTAATGAAACCTTCGCTTGTAGATGAACCAAAAGAGTCGCAGAGAGAAGAAGTAGAGGATCTCGAGGAAACTGAGGATGCTGCAGCCCAGAAAGAGCCCTGCAGATGCACCAATAGCCACTGAAACATACACATAAAGCATTGACTTCTCAGGCAGTTTTGAGTTTACACCTGTGGGTGCTGGGGCAATCAAATTTTGAAGTCACTATCAGTAACAAATTTTGGTTATGGCGATTCCATTTTTTAGAATTAGTGGGTTTTTGGCCTTTGTCGATCGTCCAAAACCACAGTAATTCTGGGTACTGCACACCATCGTCAGAACACCTCAGAATTATGATTCTGTTGCTATTTCTTATAATAATTCAATGTTCAAACTTCCTTTCCTGATCTGAGAGAGGCAGTTGTGTAATTATATGGTCCTGTGTCGAGCTCCCCGGTCGCGTCTCCTTAAATTCAGCCCTGTTTCTTAGTCTGTATTTACGTAAATTAGACCTAAGCTGACTATGGGGAACAGAGCTTAGTAGCTTCGTGCAAATGAGATGGTAAATTTCCAGAGCTGTTGCTGCTTAAAATTCGTTCATTTAAAATTTGAAAGTACGATGATAATTAAAAAAAAAATAAATAGGAAGGCACAGATAAGACTATGTTATAGACTAGATATAGACTATGTTAAGATAGACTATGTTAAGGTGTTCATTCAACATCTCCAAAAGGAGGGACATAGAAAATAAACATATATTTATTAATACTAATTAACCTGTCTTTTAAGTTCTAAGACCTTTCGAATAAAAGTAAATCCCAGTGCTATTAATTTCATTAAACCTGGGTAATGAGAATCAGTGCCAGATCTGGGAACTCTCGAGCTCGAGCCTGTAATCGTAATTAAATTTCTGTTCCAACAGAGAAATGCATTTCAAATTAACGTTTGGCCCAAAAAGATAAGCGGACATTTCTTCTTGCTCGTGAGTGGTAAGACGTCTAGCCAATTCGGACCTCACTTTGTGCTATAATTCGGGCAGCAGAGGTATATACGGAATTAATGGGTTTTTGCACTTTTCCCATCGTCCCATATTCTAGAGAATAGAAAACATGACGTTTCGGAAAGTGGATCTGTTTCCGTTTTCAGGTGAAAGAGGTTGAAGGCACTTGACATCTGACACGTGTTTTCCAGTGATTGCGATTAGCTCTTTCTAAGGAGCACAACTGAGTAGGTGTCTTCTGCCCCCTTCACCCGAGGACGGCAGTTTCCGAAACGTCGCGTTTCTATTTTCTAGAATACCGGACAATGGTAAATGTCCAAAAACCCAGTAATTCTGTGTTACACAGCATAGTCAGAACCCTTTAGAATGTACTAACAAAGGAGTATGCTGAACATTTATGTTGATATTTTAATTATCATTAATATTATTGACTAAATCTCAGGAGTTGCTCCATTTCGGAAAAAAAATTCGTGTAAGTCAATACGTGAACACGTACATCGCGGTGTAGATGTTATCATTGCCCCCCCCGCACTTGTGGAGTATTGACTCCATCTATTCTTGGGTCTGCCCTAGGCTTCCTACCAGAGGAATCTTGTTACAGACCGCGACCGCTTTCTCCTATAAAACATTTCCCAGTGGGTTAACACTCTCCTGCCCAGTGCTACTAGAAAACGCATTATTAAATGAACAACTATGTTTATGCATTAGTAAAAAGACATAAAAATCTAGACCTTTCTAGAAATGTACTGATAACGTTCAAAGCTTGCGCTCGCGACTTCTGTTACAGCCATGTGCTTGTGAAAGTACGTACCCCAGACGTCAGTGAGCCCAAATATGAGGTCCCGCTTCAGCCTCATGCGTGGATATTTTGATAGCTGCAGCACCAGAGTAGTTCCAAAATCCCTTGGAAAAAAAACTACATTTAATAGAAAATTGCAAATTGTAGGGCAAAGCCGAAAAGAAACTCAAAGGATCTGCACATCCATATCAGTGACAACGCCTAGGGTTTCTGCTTGTTTCGCTCAACAGGGCGCCGAGTCACACAAGTACGAACTGCACACAACTGGGAAGTGGTAACCGTTTCCAGATCTGAATTTCTTACAGTGGCATGTGTTGATAAGGTCAATTGAAAAAATCCAGTGACATCGCCGGGAATTGAAACGGCGACCTTCCGGCTTATGTTTTCATGCCTCAACCAACTACGCTACCGCGTGCCCCCTCCAAGAAGAAATATTTTAATAAGGGTCAGCGGTCATGGAGCTTCGTAATCTAACTCATTGTTAGCTATCAAAAAGCCTTTCACTGGTTTTAAATATATTTTAATATGACACTCTTCATTCTAAAGTAAAACTCTTCACGTGTGACCTGTAAGTTTTTTACTACATGAAAACTTAACACCCTTACATGTTTCGGTCTCTGCGGACCATCTTCAGAGGGCAAACATCACTACAAATAGGAAACCACCATCACATAAGTTGTTTAGACGTGATTTATATTTGCTCTTCACGTGTATTTACCATTCAATTTGATTTTCCGAATCTATGGCATAGGTGACGTCATCACAGGGAGGCAGGCACTTACAGAGCCTATGTTCATCGTTTCTCAGTGTCACCAACATAGCTGTAAGTAAAATTGAAATGCACTATAAATTTTATTATTTTAAAACACTTTGGAAAACTTCTTTTATTTTTAACTATTGTGACACTAATTAAGCAAAGTGAGCATAAGGTTCATGATTTATTCTA